ATAGAACAAAATTTGATAGACGAAAATTGAGATATACCATTCATCTCTTCGAACTGAATCTACAATAAAGCAATATTGAATGTCTGAAAATACCTTCCTGCGTCATTGAGAATTTTGATTACTTGCCTCATATAGTGGTAAGCTAATTGGACTAACCAACTATAATAAAGTTTACTGGAGTTAGTCAAGACTTGAGTTAACTCAATAAGAATGACATAACATTATAATATAAAACTAAAATAACTTTAAATTGAATGTCAGTTCAGATTATAATGAAAAAAAATACTGTAAGTATTGCTAGTTGAATCAATCCTATGTTTTATCTAGTACATTGTTGCATGATGATTGTTTCATTTCTAGATTTCATGAGTGTTTAGTTGTTTATTAGTAGTGCTAATTTTTTCTTAATTTAGCACTATGTATATTCTTACTTATCCACCTACATTGCTATTAATGAAAATGCTTAAACATTAAATAGTCATCAAAGATGTAAGTGTTAACTTTCATTTGTATTTTCATATGATCTTCTAGTAACATAGTTGTTTTCTAATATTTATCTCTTTCCAATTGTATAAAACTAGTTTTCTGCTATGCATTGTATCTTCAAATCATATCGACTTTGACTTTTTGTTTGTTTGATGTGGATCTTTCATCTTAGTTAAATCTTTATTTAAAAGAAAAACTAAGAATAATGCTGAATGGATTATATGAGTTCTATAAATACAAATTTTAACATATTTATTCTATTATTCTTATGAATGAAATTTTCAATTTCAAGTAGATCATAAATGTAAAAAAATCTATGTTCTCCTCAATCAGATTTATCTTAACCCTTTTGCAAAATTTACAATCAATTTTAAAATATACTTTATAGTTGAATATTTGAAATATTGGAACCTATAAAATAAGCTAGCGCAGAAGCTGAACTCTGGAAGTATATTTTCAACAAAAGAAATCATCGTTTAAAAAAAACACATGTTTTATGTTTCAAACTACTGAAAATTAGCAAAAAGAAGGACAAAGAATTTGATTACAACTAACCTTTGAAATGACTTATGGATTTTAATATTTCTCTCTAGCTTTAAATATTTACTTTGAAATCACAATCTGATTTATTGCATACATTTTTGAGTTCACGATCGAACTTTTTTTGTTACTTTGATCAAGTTACCTCATGGCCATGATTCTTAAAATGGCTCAAATTTTTTTTAAGAAACCATTGTTTTAAGCTTCCAAGCACTGAAAATTATCAAAGAAGAACAAAGATTTTGTTTTCAAAAAACTCTGAATCACTTCTGGCTTTCAATGTTACTCTCTAGCTTTAAATCATCAGTTTGAAATAAATTGCTGATTTATTGCATACATATTTGAGTTCACGATTAAACTCTTTCTGTTCGGCTGACCACGTTACGTCAACGCCATGATTCTAAAAATGGAAACAAATTAACTATCATGAAAACATAAAAATTTAAAACACAGTTGAAGAATTCATCATAGATTTGGGGAATTGATAAATTATAATTCAATTATGAATAAACTTAATAAATTTTAATTGAAGGAAATTATCAAGGCATACAAGGTTTTTGAATATCAAGAATAATATATTTCATGTCTCCTTTAAACTCATGACTATATAAGTCATTTAGTATAAAGATATATGAAATAATCAACTTCAATAATAATTAACACTAAAATTTCATTCTCAAAATTGATGTGCAAAGTGTTTTTTAAATTTAAATTTTAAATAATTTTAAATTTTTTATTTATTTTCAATAGTATGAAATCTCATCTATTTTTTGATGTATTCAGATGAGTATTCAAAACTCTTATGTACAAGTCTTCATAAATTTGGAAATGAATTTCCAATATGTACGAAATGTGAAAAATATTATCTTCGTAAACAAAATTCAAGAATAATTAAACTCTTTCTTACTATGTGTTCATCAATGATGTGATGATGGTATGATTTATGTACATTAAATGATCAAAAACGATTTCATTTGAAAAAAATTCATACATTTAACTTAACAATAACTTTTTTTGTCATAAAGTATCATTTCTTCTCAACACAATCATAGGAATGAACGCCCATAATAATAAAAACTCATATTATTTTCTCCTATTTTTTACATCTTGCATTCTTCATTGCTGTACATGTTGATGAGAAATATATTCCTTTGCATCAAAAAGCATGAAATTACACTTTTTATCAAATCAAGAACTTCAAATATTATTGATTTCGTACTGAAAATCCAAATATGCTCATAAATCGTCACAAAATTTTTGATTTTATATCAATCTGAATTTTTTTTTTGAGTTTTGAAAAAAATATATTTGGAATCTTAATTTGAAGTTTCTAATAATTAATATGATGATAACATATTTATTTTTCAAGATACTTATATATAGATTTCAATGATACCTGTTACCTTCATCATTAGACCTAATAAAAACTTAATAATTTTTATATATAGGATTTTTTAGAATAAAAATTCAATAAAATACTACTATATTTGAAGTTCAATGTTTAAATCAAATCAAATTCCACATGCAAAACTGAATCCTTTTCTTTTAATGAATTTTAAGCCAAAAAGTTATATTTATATCAAAAAATTAATAAATTAATAAAAGATGTCTTTTCATAATTTGAAAGTCATAAAAGATATAAATATTATTTGTATCATTTTTATCAATGTAGATTCAAAAACAAAATATCTTAAACATCGAAATTAATTTTAAGAATTTTTGTTGTAAGAAGTTATTCTATATGTTGGATTAAATTTTTTATTTACAATTCTCGGTCTTTTTATTTTGAAAAAATAATATTATTTTATATCTATTTATCAGTTTTAACATAATTACATTCAATGGTATATTACATCAACTTCATTTAATTATGTAAATTAATTAATCTTTAATAATTATTAAGTATAATCCAGTTTAGGATTTTAGTGATTTTGTTGACAAGGACGAGAAAGTATGGCGAAATCTAGCTCAATCCTGAGCATTATGTCAAGTTTTTTTTCTAGAAAACCTTATTGTTCACGTAGATGTAAGAATATATAAATTATGTTATTTTTTGAGTCTGCTAGCTATGTGGTGGCGTTTTGGAATTTGATGACGTTCTTGTCAATTCTCTCTAAATATTGTATCATAACGTTGTTTGTTTTCAGTTGGTTTTGCACTCGTGCGAGACGATTGGGTTGTGGCTAATTCAGTTTATATATGGCTTAGTTATGAAATAGAAATCTATGATAATTGTAATTACACAACAAAAATTTGCCAAATTTTTGTTGTGCTTGATTTTGTTCATGGTTTTTGTAACAAGAAACATGAGAATTAGTAGACACAACAAAGAGAAGAATGTCAAAAGAACACGCTTACACAACGTCGACAAGAGAAATATGTGATTTTTCACTCTTGGAATCCACGAGAACAATCAAATTTTTACCAAAAAGCTTCAAGGTGTTCAAGGAGAGCTTGATTTCTCCTCCCTACATATACGTCGTAGGAAAAACCCTAGGTCTAAACTTAAGGTTAATTGTAACTGAAGTTAGGTTAATTTAAGAATGAAAGGAGAGAACAGATGGGACCTCAACACAAACATTCATCCATACTTATATTACTAGAATCCGTGTACAAGTAGCAGGAACTCAGGGATCATCAACAAAAGATAAAATGACAAGTGGAACTCCTTACCAGCATGAGAGGCCACAAGTCAAATCCACCAGACACAAGAAAACCTCCCTCAAAATTTACTAAGTAAATGTTCAATTGAAGAGCAACAAGTATCCTAGGTGAGAGCACATCACAGTATTGTTGACTTAACTTATGACCACAGATCACTCGTGCTCTTAGTTTGGGGTCACTAGTTCTTTGAAGGGTTGTGTCTGGGGAGCAGAGGACCTCTAAACGTAGCCCGTGCCCACGTTAGGAGTTATCGCCTTTTCCAAAATTTTTTACTGATAGGCTGTGAGGCTCACTTATATAAATCATTGCACTGGGCAGTGAAAAGCCGGGTACCGTGCTCGCCACGGGTTGAGACCTTAGATAATCGGAGAAGGATCTAGCCAACGTAGGCTTTGATCGTTTGTTGTCTCTGACAGACTAGAGGAAATTCCTGTATACAGTAGTCGTTTAGCTGATGAGTCAAATATGCTGACGTCTGTGTGATCGAGAGAGGGAACTAACTTTCGAGCACCTCGAGAAGATATTCTGAGCACCCAATGGGATATTCACCTTCGATGACCTCTGAAGTCCATGGTTTCCGGGCAGCCAGGGGCTTTAACATCCTTGTCACGTCCGGCTGACAAGTTGAAAAATGGGATTTCTGTTTCGATACCTCCGTACGCCGTCGTGATATGAAAAGGTAAAATACAACATCGCTCGCTAAGCAAAAACCAAAATTCTCTTTCCACTGAAACAGAGTATGGTGTTTGATGTTGGTGCGATCACCTCCTGCTGGCTGAAGGCAGTGCTCTCGCTCCCACACATTTCGAGTTCTGTCTAAGGAGAGCCATTCACTGTCTCTCCTGTCGGTCTACGCCTCTCCAGGAAATGATGGACTTCACAAAAGCTTTTGAAGTGGCTTTCTCACTTAAAGTCAGCAGAGTTTCTTCTATATCCAGATGATGCGTACATGTTTGAATACTGGTAACTTTCGTATGCTGCCTGGAGATCTTTGCATCGGGCGTGTCCAGTTTCTCTCTGTAACATCTGTCGAAATGTCACAAATTCTGAAATCCATGATCCATCCGATCGGAACACAGAGATCAGAGAACAGCACTGCTGTTCAGAACAGAGTACTATACTGTACTTCAATGTGCCACGATGCAAGCATCGCCAAGTGTGCTTCCATCGAAATCGACAGGTGTGCCGCCACGTGCTATACATCTGACTTGGCATGCATGCACCGAGACACACGTGCCCAGATTTCATTCCTTTGGGAGGAGATTTATTGAGGGAATTCCGAAAAAGCCCAAATCATACGGACATATTCCCATACCTGTACCGAAGCCAGATCTTGCGTTACAAAGCCAGGCCTGAACCATGCATCAAGCAGCAACTCGATCTACCGCATTGATCGGATTACAATTGTCTGGTTTGATAAAAACTCGACGAAGTGTTTGCGCGTTGAAATCTGTGACCGCTTTGACAAACAAGAGAGTTGGTTCTGCTTCACAAAGCTACTGTGACAGCAACGCTAAGGCCCTCGGAGGAAAGCCCGCAACCATGGCAGCAAAAAACTTTCAGCAGTACAACAGAGTGGGAATTAGGAACATGAGCGGAGAACCTACAGAAGACATCGAGGTTTTCGGCAAGGCTGCTACTGGAACTGGAAACCCCAGCCAAGTTCGTGGCGACTGTAATCTACAACACCTCCCTCTTTATGCATTGGATTGAAATATTTGAGCCTCTACTTTATGTTGCTGATCTTGTACACTGTGTTCCCTTCAACATAAAATGTTTCTCACCTTGGGGAGTAGTTGTAATGTATATTCTCATGCGATCATTGACATCAGTTGCTTTTACCTTATAAGAAATGGATATTATTCATTTACTAGTGCTTCCCCTCAAATAGAAAGTGGTAGGTCGAAATTAAACCTTAAGAATCGTACGATTACATGATGCATACACTGTCCTTGGGAAGGAGGGGCTTTTCTTCTCAACTGACGACATAATTTATGATGGAACCTATGCGGACCGATGAACACAATCAATCAAGACAGGCAGCTAATCAGTGTCCTGGCCTGTACTAATGTGTTTTGATGGGAAATAACTGAATCGTTGATCTAGTATACCCGGTATGTTGCCCCCATTAGGAGGGTTGCTATTTTCTTTCAAAGTAAGAACACAACCTCCTTAAATTTTCCGTATTAATGCATGCTCGTCGGTGTAGACTTCATGACACAGCCGTATGAAAAGTTCACAGATTTGTTTTTAAAATTTGTCAGAAAACCAGTTATGTTGGTTACATAAGCTGCGGATTGGTTACCATGCTTATTCACACTGTATGACAAATGTAGTCATTTTCTCTTTCAGTTTCTATATAGGTGGACGAAGAATTATGTCAATACAAGAGCACTTTTCATGTCCAAGCAATTTTTGAAAATACTGCACTAGGTTCTCAGTTATACTGCGTGCATCGTGTGTTTCAGGTCCATTCTCTCAGCGAATTTATCTCGAACTTGAAGGTGAGATATAGTGTTATAAGATGCAATGGCACGATTAGATTTCTGATCAATTGTTGAAATGATGTCAAACTCAGGTAGAGTAGTATACAGAGTTCCAAAACTAGCGAAGTTTTCCTCAACAACTGTGAGTGTCAAACTACTGGATGGTTTGTAAACCAATGGCTGCCACTTATGTTTAGAAGAGTTAATGATTTTATCAATTGGTGCTTGCAGAGAAGAGCATCCCCTACAAAGCAACTTACATTCAGGAGGGTGATGATAAGCCAGATTGGTATGTTCTTTCTTCCATACTGTTCTGATGGTTACAAGGGTATGCTCCTGATGTCCAGTGATGAATGGATTATTTTACTCTCGATCGTATGAACTTATTATTTGAGAAATGCATTACTGCAGGTTTATGGAGAAGAATCCCTCTGGTTTGATGCCGGCACTTCGTGATGGGGAGAAGTGGATCCAAGACTCGGATAAGATTGCTCAACACCTTGAGGAGAGATTTCCAGACCCCTCTCTGAAAACTCCAGCGGAGTTCAAGAACGTGTAAGTTTCTGATACTGTGTTAATGAATTAAGGCAAACTACTGACCGCAAAGAAGACTATAGTTATGTAATTGTTGGTCACATCCGTCATTTCTTAGTAGAAGGCTTGTACTAGACAGCAGTGAAACTCCTATGCAGAAGATACTTTTCACAGGATAAGGGTGGAGTTTCTACCACTTGAGCTGTATTTGCTTCTAGAGATGATAGAGCGTACATTTGATTATAGTTAGGTGATAAATCTGAATGAAAGGTAGCAATTCGATATAATTTGTTCGTCGTGAAACGGAAGTGACTCCTGAAGTTGGTTTATCGGTTTCTTCCCTTAAAGTTTTAACATGTGCTCTGATACAACGACGGTGAAAAAGTACCTTTCTAACGATCTCGTGTCTCTCTGTGCAGTGGGGAAAATATCTTCCAATGTTTCACTCAATATCTGCAGAGCAAGAAACCAGACGACTCTTCCAAAGGAGAGTTGCTAAAAGAACTCAAAGCACTGGATGAGCACTTGAAGCAGCATGTAAGTATCTCTCTGGCGATAGATATATCTTTGTTGTACCATATGTAACAAATCTCAATGTTTGCATGTTTTATATGCGGTTGCCACTCTGCTTTCCTACTACTACAGACAATTGTTATCGATTTTAAGTCGAATCAATGCTACAGAGCAACAGTTGTTAGAGCTCACATGCCACTTCGCTGATCAGCAACTGCATACCTTTCGGTGCAACAGCACACTTACCGATGTAATGGCCGGGACTCTATGCCGCAGGGTCCATTTATCGCCGGCGATAAGCCAACGGATTCTGATTTTGCTCTGATTCCGAAGTTGAAGCATTTGCGGGTGTCTCTGGCCCACTACATGGATTTTCATATCCCAGCGGAATTTTCAGCTACACACAAGTACATTGAGGTAATAACGACGCACCGACAAAGGTAGACTTATCAGACGTGTGAAAAATAGTGTTTCCTGTCCGATAGTCCACTCTTAAGTTGACTGTGGTCCACTGCTCAAGGTTGCTTTAGCTTCTCCCTTGAAGACAGGGAATGATATCTGCAAGGCAAATGTGTATTTATTTCAGCTCGTTAGCAGATGGAATGTAGCTGGATATATCCTGCAGTTAGTCCATGTTATTTATACACATCGGAAAATGTCTCAAGCAGAATATCAGACCAATTTTGATCCTCACATGCGTCTGAATTTTATGAACTGGAACGGAACGTCAAATAGTGAAACCTTTCGATTGCACTGACCGTATTTAGAGCGAGATCAAACTCCTCATCGATGAAACTAAGGATGATTTGTTGTTGTACTCTGCAGATGTTGGAGAACAGACCCAGCTTCAAGCGAACTGACGTTCCCGACAAGATGATCATCGAAGGATGGCAGAAGAAATTCAGCCTTCCAGACCGAATTGCGCAGCCTCAGACAGCGTAGATCAGAAGGAAAGGAGACAGCCATGGCCGTGTAGATAAAACCATTTCCCCTGTACCTGCCAAGTAATGTAATGCGAAATTATATCTGTACCTGACAAATCGTGTTTCTCTCAATTGTACTCTGAATGTTTCTTTGGTGTGTAAACCTTTGCATATATGTCGGTAAGAAACGAATCGTGAGAGGAAGGAATGATTTCCATGTGATTCATGTTAACGTAATATGTGTAGAAAGATGATGTAAAAAAGTAGCTGACGCAATCATCAGGCACACTCCTGAGATGATTTGAGCGTGTCATACGTAGAATTGATTCAAACACTGCAAATCTCAACTTCTAAGATTATGCTCAAGTTGCTGTGAAAAGGAAGTTTCAAGTAAACAGTCATGATTACAATGCACGAGATGCTTCAAAACATTACTGGTGGTTCAACATTGTACACGCTACTGTATTTCACACGGTAAATGTAAATGACGGTATCTTTTAATGTGTCTTCACTATCTTCTTCTTAGAATGTTATCTGCACTATAATGAAGTAATATTTGATTCCTTTCCAGCCAAAATAAATAAAGGTAAGCACTGCAATACTGTGTGACTCATCTGTGTAAGATTATAATATCTCACATTTAACGTTCTGTATACTTAAACCACATTTTCTTACTAAAAGTCATATACACAAACGACAAATTGCTACGAAAACAACTACACTGTAGAGCAACACTTTTTGAGCTAGTTCAAACAATATATATACACAAAAAAACTCCTCAATTGGTATAATTATGTAACTAGTGTAAAATTAAATATGAAAACATCAGAAACAGTACAGGTTGAAAATGGATGAAATAAAAATGACCATATAACTTTCTTCATTTACACAATGAACACTTCACAACACATATAACAAATACACCTGAACTATTCCTCCTTCAAGAGTGGAAGGTGAAAGTTACCAAATTTCTATGTATGTATATATATATATATTTAAACTTATTTAATTTAGTTTCATCATATCTTCAATCCATATTTATTAAAAATAATTGAATTGTAAGCTCTAAGATATTTAGTTAATTGTAAAAAAAGACTTGAATAAAAATTTTTAAAATTCATAACATTCTACATATTAAAGCACTCAAAAAACTTCAGTCTTTATAATTTTTAATCTTGAAATTCCATCAATTTTGTTCAAGTTATCTTAAAAAATCACCATATAAGTAATACATAAAATATAATACCCACATATGTAATTGAATTTTGACATCAAGTTATATATGACTCATCTTTTATGTGTCAGCGCTTAAACGAGAATCAGTAAATACAAGTGATAATAAATCCTGAGTCAACACGATAAAACACTAGTCGACATAGAAGTACAGTAGTTCACACTTCTAAGTCCTACGTCCACGACAAGGAATCACAGCAGGCGTTTGTATAAACTGTAAAGAGTGATTTGAGTCTTGGGGTTATATACCCCCAGTCCAAGCCTTGAGCTAGCTAAACTTAGTTATCCAGAGGCTAGCCCAAAATACACGAGTTAAACTCAACATTATGTTCAGATATTGTTCATACAAGATTTTAAAAAATACTTGGAAATTTATAACATTTAGTTCAAATTAGGCCTTCAAAGACATCATTTTTATGCTCAAATTTGGGGGAAAAAATGAACTTGAGGTTAATCTATATCTCACACCTTTTTTTTAATAGTATATAGATTAGATGTAATCATCAATTTTCAAATTAATCAAAAGTATTCAAAATCTTATTTCAATTTTAATTTTAAATAAATTAAACCAGACTTTGAACTACTCGGAATATACTCTAGTTTGTTCAATTTATAATAATAATGAGAAAAGTAGTGATGTGTTGATATAAGATAAGCAAAATTGATTTGATCATAGATCACAACTTTAGATGTAGTGCAAAATAATACTTGGCCATAATATAAACTTTATGAATTGAAGTAGAGATTAATAAAAGTGGGATTTAAATTTACTTAATATTACAAAAAAATTCATTAGACATATATATATATTTTTCAGATTATTTAATGTCTTTTTAAAAATTAATAGCAATAATTTGAACCAAGAATCAAATGTTAGAAAAGCTCATATCAAGAAATATTATGATACATAATGTCTACTTTAAATTACAAAATTACTTATGTTACTATTATTACGAATATAAAAAATATTAGATTAAAAAATCACATTAAATTGTTTATCTTTGTAGTTAAATAAAAAATCACATCAAATATTTTGATAACATATGTATTCAAATTTAGCAAATAGTGCATTAGCATATGTATAAAACTATAAATAATGGATTAATTTCAACCCAACCCATTCTAGTGAATCCTATATTGTCTCAGTATTGATTATATTCGTTTCGATTATTTGAACATTTTGAAGATTATTGATATCAAAGAAATTCAAATATAATTGTGACAACACAACAACATTAGATGTTGTTTATAAATCTGTACACATTCTTCTAAACTGAGAATGTAACATTTCAAAATATCATGTTGCGATTTTTTTTATCATGAAGATTTTATTTATATATATGTTACATGTTTTATGTTAATGGCTAAGATTATGCATCATTCTTGTTGTACTACTTTTTGATACTTGTTATTTGATATTTTATCCTATGTATACATCATTGTAATTATTTATTTATAACAAAAATTAATTTTTTTGATATAATTTGAAGTTGAAAAATCCTAATATCATTAATAATCATGTTTTATCAAAAACTTGATTTTGGGATGTATATTCTAAAATAAATTGGGAAGTTTTACGAAAAAATTGATGAAAAATATAAATTATTACTTTATTTATCATAAAATAATTTGAAATATGAATAAATTTTACCTTTTTAGTTTTATGATCATTTATTGAAGACATGCTTTATACTATGAAATTTTATTATATATAAGTATATGAAAATTATATTTATTAATACGCCAATGATATGTTACCAAGAATGTTGAGTCAAAAGAGATGACTATATATATATTCTATACATTTTGACATACATCAATCTAAATTAACAAACAAATAGAAAGGAAAAAAATCTAACAAGACTCAAAACTCAATTCAATTCTTTAAAAAATCAAGTTAAATATTTTGATACTACTTTCAAGTTTTTAAAAAGTTTCCAAGAAAATTTATATTATTTCTAATTAATCTGTCATTTGATATTTTATTTATCAATTATAATCATTTTTTTATTTTACATCTTGATATATTTATCAATCTATTTTAATTTTTTAATCATCCCTATTTTTTAGATATTTAAAAAATTATTCTTCAATATATCTATTTAGATGAAAATAATATGAATATTAATAATAACTTTGGAAATCCATTTTTTTTAAATTCAGAATATTTGAAGAAATAAATGAAATCTTTTTAAATTCAAATAGATTTATTTTGATAGATGATAAATGATATTTACATTTTTTTTTCCTTTAAAGCCAAATTCATGCTGCAAAACCAGGGTTTGAGACAACAGTATGGTAGGAAATTTAAGACATAAGCAGGCAGAGTTGTTCAGAAAATAGATTTCATGAATTTTTGTTTATAATCAAATTGAAAATCAATTTTATTATTCCTGGATTTGTAACATCATAACAATGAGTTCAAATATCTAACAGCTGATTTGATGAACATTTGTATTAAATTGATACAAATATTCACTTAATATTTATTTTTTATTTTAAAACTCAGATTGAGCAAAATTGAACATTTGAAATATATAGTGATGTTACATCACTATATATTTTATTATATAAAGTCAATAAGTTATGTTTCCTCTTTTTGAACCCAAAATTCTCAAGTTTCATATTACAATGAATCAAACATGTAGAAACATCATACTTACACTTATTTTTTTTATGTAAGACTTATGTACAAATTGGACATATATAAATGATGTATCTTGGTTCTATTATGAATGTTATTTTTAATTTTTATTGACTATTAAGTCAATAAAAAATATGGGCATATACATTATTAATTCATCTACATCTTTCTACACCTCAATGATGTTAATATCTCATATACGCATTATATTTATGTTAATCATATTTTTTAGAGTTTGGAAAGCTGAGTTTAGCTAATCATGATATAATTCAGGATGTTGTGTTTGTTAGATCCAGATTTGTTAAGATTCATAGCTTTGTAAAGAGTATTGATATGCCTTAAAGTAAATTTGGACTAATGCAAATCTATACTTCGTTTTAAGGTAAAAAGTGTATTACTTTGTATGCTTATCAAAACTTACATGTTAAAAAATTCACTCACAACATATTACATTTTTTTTAGGTCATTGTATGATTGTAGGTTATATAATTTCAAAGATGTGAAAAACAAACACGTACATACTTTTCTTTATGGATAGGCAAAGAGTATAAGTGGCGAGTGTGGTTAAATATAGAGACTTTTTCAAGGACTATGATACAAATACTTCGAAAGGTCTGCTGAAAAGAATGCAGATTAAACTACAATACTCATTAACATGGGTAACATTTTGTTTAGCACATTAGGTAGCCAACTCAAGCAAATAGTTGCTCCAAAGGAACCAGATCAATGCCACATATGACGTAATCACATTAGGTTCTAATGGGCACCTCTTGTAAGATGACATATATAGTCGGAATATTGCAGGTGGTAAAGATTTCTCGGTGTGATGCTCTTGGGCTAGCCCCATCCTAATCCTTTGGTTTCTGATTTCATCCGTAAAAGACATGTAGGGTCTTCCCATGCTCTGTGCTATATTACTCTATTTCACGCTAACGTACCCTCTGATTGCATGTATATTATGATCTAAAAATGCATCTACGTGTGAAATGATGAGGTCTGGGTTTCCATAGTCTAGTGTCAAACTCATTACGAGCGGATATTGTGTTTGCAAATCTGCAATAACTCTGGATCGCTAGACAGTAAGGATCCCATCAAGTGGTCCTAACAGTTAACGTACTATTGTCAGACAGTAAGTAGTCATAACAAGTGGTGGATATGCAAGTTTCTTCACCGTATGCCTGAGAGGTTCGCTTAGGAACCGTAGGGCAGAGATCTTCCTTCACTAATACTCTAAAAAAAAAAAAAAACTTAAAAAAAAACTCTGACTCCTCCTGACGTGTTCAAATTTGAATGAAATCATTTGGGCGAACCACCAGTACAACAACTGCACCGAATAAACATCCACATTCTCCTCTCTCTCTCTCTCTCTCTGAAACGAGAACAATATGCCGAATATCCAAAAGAACTGGCAACGAAAGTGCTCCAGCCTTTGATGAAATAAAAAAGCAAAGCACATAAAGTGCTAAATGATCATGATCTGCGCGCGGGCTGCACAACAATAAACACTACGGAATGACGTCCTCCCCAGAAAAAAAAGAGTACGGAAAAAATTAATATTTTGACTTGGAGCAAGGAGAAATATTTGTCAAGAGGCAGAATCCAAAATCCAGTACCTGGATACCACATCGAGAATGTGTCAGTGGCCATTTCATACGCACCTTACACCGTTTGAAATATACTCTCCTTATACACACCTTGGTTTCATATACGGTATTTTTCTCAATGAACACTTTGTCTTATGACATGGAGATCATGGACCTTTCCAAGTCATTCATCTCTTGAAAAACAAATGGCTTGTTTCCACGTAATTGGCAGTATGATCGGTTATCCTGAAACAAGAATCTGGCATATTCAGGGAAATATTTAACATGATAAAAATCTGTCATAAATAGGGAAAAGAAAGAATAATTTTCGAAGTAATTCATACAAAACACCATCAGGGTGTGGAGATTAAGAAGCAGAAGGAATGTAAGCAGGGTGTGCATAGTGTAACCACGGAAAGCTTGAACTCTGATTAGTACAACATCAATCAATCATGCTTCAGAGATAGGGAGACATGAAACAGCGCTTTCTAGGTGAATATTTTAGTGCATGATGTGGGTCCCGTGGTCGGAGTAAGACAAAGCAGGACGAGGACGGGCGTGAGTGGTGTTGTGTCCAGGTTCATGTCCCGCAGGAGGGCAAAATGCGAAAGAGGTTCGGTTGACTCAAGATTCTTTCGTGTCCCACGAGAGAAGAAAGTTGAAGAGTGAGGGCGTATCGTCGCATGAATCTTTGTCATTTTCGACCACGAGGCACGCCATTCAGGTCATGGCTGCTAGACGCTTGGCCAGTTTGTCCAGTTGGTACCATTTGGCTGCGTCCTAGTTCCAATCCTGCTGTATTTCCAAGCCAATTGTCACAGCAACTTATCTTGCCGTCAGCTACTGTCTGCCATTTATCTCACCTTCCGGACTCACCCTCCATTCCTCTGCGCCTCTATAGTTGCCACCTTTTGACTTGAAATTCATTCGTAGGTGGCTTGATCTGTGAAATGTAAAATCCTCCAACGACTCGGTGATACAGTATTGACGAAACCTCTCATGATCACAAACTTTCAAAAGACTCTCCCTTTCGGTGTCGAACTGATGCCACACATTCTCCTTTAGTTCCATACATCACATTATGCTTTTGTTCCGAACCCACAAATTCTACAAGCACTCAAGTTGACCGAAAGCAGGATGATTTGGAAGACACACAGAAGTAGGCACAGGTGATGGTCCGTTTTTTATACTTTATTTTTTATATTCTACTAGTTAGCTAGAAACCAAGTCTAGGAACCTGTTGAAACTTTTGTGAGCGCACAGAAGTTCATTATACTAACATGATAGTGGTAACATTCTCTTTACATTATTCATCAAATAACTTTAAATCACATTTTGAAGTGTAGCAGACTGGAGAGCAATAATTATTTGGATGTAATATGATTTACAATAGTTGGATATATAAAACTAAGTAAAATCAAACTCTCGGCATGGTTTTTTCCATTTTGGAACTTGGGTCTTCTATCCTTTGTCATATGATTGTGTCAACTAGCGACACATGTACAGGTCAAGTGAAGTGTTTTCATGGAAGTTCAGAACGGGAAGAGAAGCAGCAATCCGGAGACCTGCGCAAGATGATGCACCCGTGGCGGGGAAGGAGTTGAGTCTATAATCCTACCAACTTACAAGGAGGTAGGATTCGCATCAGGCCATGACCTCCTTCCGAGGTACTGTACTGTACAGCATGTCGACGTACACGGACAGAGCAAAGGAGCTGCTCAGAAAACCACATCCTCGAAAGAGCGAAAACATTGTAAAGACGGGGAACCGGGAACACTGCTTTCCAATCACAGTGTACATAGAAAAGGAGGTGGCTTCAAAGTCAGCTCCAGCGCTCCTCATCAATCATACTGCCAAGAGGAGAATAATAGTAATGATACGCCATGTGACTCCTTACAAAGACGACTGCGCAGGTACTCCATCTTACCCTCTACATACAAATAGTACCAGAAATAATTACAAAACCAGAATCAAGACTTGAGTTCGTCATCTTACAACGCTTTTAGTCTTCGGTTGATTACCTTTGTAGGCAATGCATTTTGTCGTTTTCAAAAATTCTGATGATCGATGGTGCTTTTCGTCTCAGGAAATAGAGAGGAGATCAGCCGCTCTTATTTTTGTGACAAGTTTATAAAGGATGATAGAAATGTCCAAGTCAAAGAAGATATTCGATCAAATAAGGCTTAGCCTTTCAAGCCCAATAAAATCGTTTGACTTTAGTTTTTTTGACATGAGCAAGTTTATCAATACATGGACGCATACTAATGTAGGAGGGATAGTTCATATATTGTTCATCCGCGAGATGTGAAATCTAGGGAGAAGTACATGGATATATTATTAGAATAAGAAATGTTGTGTACAATGAAGTATACATCCTTACCTTAAACTAATTCGGGAGAATCCAGTCCGCAGCCATAAAAGCATCAAACTGTTTCTAGCCCTCACTTTTGGTCAAGGAGATATAATTGCAGATTCAAAATAAAGAGGAAGTCCACGGTGGAGTGTATCTGGTTCCCTAAAAAGCAAATGGCTCCTACCTGTAGAACCATCGTCTTTAATAATATACAAATAAAAGCAGAAAAGGGCTGAAAAAACAATAATTCAATAATTCAAATTTCATTCCCACCAGTGTTGCCTCGCTTGTGCAATATAGTGTCGATGATGGGGAAAATACAAATTCCTACGGGCAGTGCCGCTTGTGACGTATGATTGAACTCATGCAATACCTCCTCGCGACTGTTCGCAACTGTTCCAAAAAAACTACTGTTACGTGAGTGTGTGATTATTGCTGCCAGGAAGGACGTCTTCATTCTGTCAAAATGGACAAGTCCATTATTTTACACATTTGGTAAGCACAGCAATTTTGCTCGTCCAGTGGAAATAGGAGGGCGGCCACCGGGGCACACACAAAATGCACATGAGCAGAGCATCCATGGCCTCGAATGCGCAGGGCACCGGATGGACATTTTAGCGGGAAGGCGGGACCGAACGAAGTGCAACGGGCTACACTGGAAGGGGTGGGGTGGGCACAGAGACCGCAGCCTGACACGAGCCAGTGGCGAGTCCTGCCGGTCACCCACTCGGACGTCCGGTGCTGTCCCGGTGCGCACAGAGAGTACGCAACCGGGGCTGACAATGAATGCGCGGGGCGACGAGGTCGTCATAAATAGTCGCGAGCTTTGCCTCTCGAAGGCTGTTGGCTGTTGTGCACTCCTCTGACGGGCTGGTCTGGCTGCTCTGTTCTGCTCTGTTCAGGTCGGTCTGTCTGTCTGGTGGGGTGGGGAGGATCTGCGCTTGCCTGCCTGCCTGCCTGCCTCCCTCCAATTCCTCGGGCATCTCTCTGTTCCGTCGACGCCCGGGCATTGACTCGAATCGGAAGGGGGGAGATGCGAACAGAACAGAGCGGAGGAGGAGACGAATTACGTGGAGATTCGAATCAGTAGACGAGGCCAGCAGGCCTGTATGTAGATCACTCGATCGCTAGCTCGCACGAGTCGTCGCATCGGGTCCCGGCAGCAGCTTCATTGATAGATTGTCGTCGAGTCAACCTCTCTCTGTCTCTCTGCCGTATGTACATTTTTCCTAAGATCTGACAACCGGGGCTCGTATGTATATTTTTCTCGGGACTTGCTCCCGTTTGTAAATCCTCCGCCGTTGCTGCTGCTGCTCCTCCTCGTCGTCGTCGTCTGCGTCTGACTGACTGACTGACTGACTGCATGCCTGGCTGCCCAGATCGAAAAAATTTGAGAGCTGGTTCGGGCAGTGAGCCAGGAGTCGGTTTGTGTATCTCTGTTGGAGTGAGGGCCGGAGCGCGGGCCCAACGATTGTTCCTTCTGTGATGCTGCTGCTGCTGCTGCTCCGGCTGCGGCTGTAACACGGAATTCGGATTCTAGACTTTGGCTTGCTTGCTTGCTTGCTGCAGTCCGTGGCTGCGAGGGCCGGACATGTGGGGGAATTGAATCTGCGCTCGATGGTGGTGCCGAGAGTCGGATGTGCCAAGGCAGGAATTGTGCTGCCCAGGGGATCGAGCAGTTGACTCGAGGCGCAGTAGGCGGACGACGCACCAGGTGTGGATTTCGGATTGCCATTGTGCGGTTCATGTCCTGGTCCTAGCGCCCTCCTCGTCCCGGAGGTGGCGAGCGAGCGCTGCTTCGACCGGGGATCACCGCTCGCATAAATAACCTTTGGCATGCCGCCCGTGAAGCCTAGGGCGATGGCCGGACGACACGTGAGAGCGGATGGAAATGGAGGAGGCGGAGCACCAGCAGCAGCAGCAGCAGCTCCATCTCCATCTCCATCTGCAGCTCCAGCTCCGCCCGCTGCAGCATCGTCGGGAGCAGACATCCGAGAGCCTCTGCGCTCTCTCTACCAGAACAGTTCCACCGATCCCGGCGTGCAGCCCTCCCCGATCCCGAGCAAAGTCTCGCACCCTTATCGACCATTCGTGTTTGGGAGCTCGAGAAGCGCCAGCTCCAGGAGCGTTTCTCCCGATGCCGAGGACACCCGCCATCATCATCAGCCGGATGCTGCAGCAGCCTTAGCAGCAGCAGCAGCAGCTGCTGGTGGAGGTGGGGGATTAGCAGCAGCAGCTCGTGAAGGCGGTAACAACGAGCGCCCGAGGATGTCGTCTTCGAGCCACAGGAGCCAGCCCGGTGGGGCTGGTGCCGACGCGGAGGAGGAGCTGCAGCAAGATCATCATCATCAACAACAAAATCAACAAAATCAACAAAATCAACAACAACAACAACAACAACGACACGAAGCTTCATCGGATCAGTCGGAGATTCAGAACTGCGTGGATGATGGGGAGAGCTCGCCCCGGAGCCCCATGTCCGTGAGCGAGGGCAGCCAGAGTTACGGGCACAGCTGCTTCTCGGACAGCCAGCTGATCACGGACGTGGAGGACAACGAGAATCTGATGCAGCTCAAGCTCGAGGCCATGACCTGGGCCGCCATGGCTAAGGACTTCACCATCTCGTCGCTGGAGAAAAGGCTGCGCAAGGCCCTGCAAATTGCCAAGGCCGAGCAGGCCAAGAACCTCGAGCTCCAGAAGCAGCTCGACGATTCGCGCCAGGAGCTGGGCAAAGCGAAAGAGGACATTGCGAAATTGGAGGAGGCCGAGGAGCGATTGTGCCGCGAGCGCGGAGATATCGAAGTGGACGCCACGCAATTCGCTGCCGAGAGGGCCAAATTCGCGGCCGAGCAGTCGAAGCAGCACCGCTCGCAGCTCCTGCTGCTCGAGCACCGGATTAAGCTCATGCTCGGGGAGAGTGCGAAGCCCGCGCACCTGCGCGGGCAGGACCGGCAGCTGGACAGGTCTCTCATGATGCAGAACCGAGCCTGGCAGAGCAGCGACGTGCAGATTCTGGAGGAGGCCCTGGACCAGGCGCAGGAGAGAATCCTCGAGGCCGAGCAGGAGATCGAGGAGCTGCGAGGCGAGGTGTCGGACGCCAACACGGATCTGCGAGTGTCGGAGCTGCTGAGGAAAACGCAATCGCGTCGGCTCAAAGCGCTCGAGAAGGAGAGGCGCTTCTTGCTCAGGAAAGGAGCCCTCCGCTCCGTGAAGCTGGCCCCTCGCTCCACCCAGCGCAAATGCGAGACCCCCGTGCCCGGCGGCCCAGGCTGGAATGTGTTCTCCGTCCTCGAGTATGCGGAGTCGTGATCAGAACCTTCGTCAATCTGCTGCTGCTGCTGCCGCCGTCGTCGTTCGGCTGTGCACAATGTGAAGGAGGGATCGAATGCTTGAGTGAGTGAGTGGAGTGAGAGGAAGGATTCTTTGGAAAAAAAACCAAATGCCCGATGGGCTTTCAGCTCAGCTTGAAGTGGCGCTGTAATTACTTGTGCTCGCGGCTTCATGGACCGCTGCCGCACCTTTTCTCGTGATCGTGGTTATCAGACGAAGGTGCTTTTGAAGAAGGTCGTGGGCTGGCCTGTTTGCTCGCTCGAGCTCTCGAGGGAGAAAGTCGGGGCCAGGCAAGGCAAGGCAAGGGGAGGGCGCGAACAAAGGGGGCCCGAAAGCGGAAAACGATGAAGATGGTGGCATTTTGTTCGGCAATAATTCGACTAGTCAGTCAGTTCTTCCCCGCGCAGTTTGTTGTACCATTTATTTATTGCCTCGACGAGGACGACGACACGAAGAAGATGATGACGACGATGAAGGTGTAAGTGAAGAAGAAGAAGGTGATGATGATGATGCTCTGGGATTGGGCGTGGTTGTTCGTCTGTCTGTTCTGGGAGCAGACGAAAAATGTCTATCGTGAAAATTTCGATCAAATTGTGTACAAGAAGATCAAGTACAGGAGGAGCATATGTGAATGTATCTATGTAGCGAGCGAGAGGAGAGATCACGTTGTAAATTTTGTCCGCTGATTAGCGAATTACGAGAGAGAGAATGAGAGAAATTCAAAATGTAGTGAAGGAAAAGCAATCAATCAAGCGCTCGCTTGCGCCCTGTGCTCTCCCTTTCTTAAAAATAGCGACAGACCGATCGATCGATAGACCGACCGATCGACCGACGAAACGAACGACTTGCGCTTTGTGTAGACCAATTCTTCCGGTTGATGATGTAGATGTAAAACACGACGACGACGATGATGATTATGTTGATGGATGGGTGGGACGTTCAGATTGAAAAAAATAAAGAAAGAGCTCTGGATCAACTTTTCCTCCGCGTGTTCCCCTCGTGCTCTCCCCCGCCCCCCCTCGTCCCGAGCAAGTAGCGCAGTCTCGTGCCTCGCTCGAGTCCACCACGTCCACGGCTTCTCCTTTCGTGCTCGTGGATCGTGCTCTCGACTAATCAGAGCTCTCTGTCAGGTCTGCGCATCAATCATTCATTCATTCCTGATTCTCTACTATATTATTTCTCGAGTTGATTTTGCGCACGGAAAGCTCTGTCCAGTTCTTCGTGGCGGGAACATCACCGACGGCGGCCTCGCCTAGGAATGCTCCTTCACTATTCTCATTAGGTCTTTGGGTTACGTGCCGGCGTGTACGAGGGAAATTCAGACGGAGAATCGGAAGACCGAAGCTCCAGCGGCTCCTTCTCTCTCTCCCTCCCTCCCTCCCTCCCTCCCTCCCCGGAGCTACGACGGCGGACACTTTTCTTCGTAGCCCGACCCTTGTGATCTTGCATTCGCCACTCTCTCGAGTTTCCGCACGCAGGCAAAGGCAACGATCGACCCCACTGCGCTTGGAGCTATCTGGTCTGCGCTGGTCCGATCCGCACTGGCTGGGTCGTCAGGATCAGACGCGAGCTTTGTGTTCAGCGGACTCCGATCAGTTACTCCAACGCGTTTGATGCAGCCAGAGCGAGGAGAGCACAGCACATGCGTCTCGTCGAGGTGGAGCCCCACGCACTGCTTAACCGCAACCAAGCGGGACCCTTCGGATAGAACATTCGTAGGCCGAGGCAGAGCAAGTACGAGAATACGAAACTGCAATACGAATTGCAGTTTCGTATTTCGGATGCAAAAGCTGGAGATTTTACCGGCACACGGATTCCTGGGATATACCACGATGGGTGCACTGAACTTGGATCGAAGCTAGCGTCAGGTTCTGGTCTGGTCGAGGATGGAGTCTGAGATTTTGGGTCGTTCTCCTGTTCTCTCGCGTGTGGGCCTCCTCTTCCGCAGAGGAGCGGACTGTCGGGCTTTTACCTGTCGGGATTGACATTGTCGGGCGCAAGAATGTGTCTCTATCGTCCTGGTTCAGAATATTCATTATGGTCATCAGGTTCCTCTTGTACGGGAGTGAAATTCATGAGTTGCACAAGGAAACCTGGTGACACCTGATGTCTTTCTTGTTGGTACAGCTTGAAAGTACCATGGACTCATTGAAGACGATTTTGTCCTCCCGCTCCGGTTCGAGCTTTGACACTTTCTATGTTGTTATCGCAGTGTCGTTACTGTCCGTCGTCATGTCATGTCGATGTGAATTGTATTGTCATGCGGTTCCCACGGTGCAGGAATTCCTGAACTTGGCTGTGCTGTGACTCGTCCATCCAGTTTGTAATACTCTCGCGCTCAGGTGAGTAAAGAGGCGCAGCTCTGTCTTAACTGCTGAGTTCGGTTTGCCATTCAAACCTGCAACCCAGCAGGCCAGGCCATGGGACCAAATTTTACAGACCAGAAAACGAAGGCCTTGTGTAATTTAGCCCAACACTCACTGCTGATAGGTTTTTGGTCAAGACACAAGCCTTTGGTGAGTGGGTTATTGTCAAAACTGATGAGGGGTTCTTGATTCACGGCCACGACAGTTATGCTAGCTACTGTTACAGAAGGGACCAATGCATTGATGATCGTCAAACAACTTTCATATATATATATATATATGAAACTACACATAGAGCATACGAGAGTTTTCTTCTGAACATCATCATCACAGAGGACGATCTGCTCCTGTCACGTCGGCAGAGCAGAAGAGTTTTGATCTGTTTAGTTCATCTGGAGGTCAGAGTGAATGCCCACTTGACGGTTTAAACGATGTCAAGGTTTACAGATGCTGTGTTTGTTCATTACAGCTCTCAAAACTTATCCGATTGTTGCTTGCCAACACCAACCGAGTTGTCTCAGGACAAGTACATCTACGAAGAAGGAAAATCATCTTGTCGTGCATTTCAGTTAAATCAGACGATGTTCCTTGGGATGAGGTAGGGATGAATGCACATGTCAGTTTACTCAGATGAGAAACCGATCAATTGTACGAACATGTACCTTCAGAAGACATCCGTCACACTCAAGCTCACTCAAGCTAGCTTCAATTGAATGGTAATTGCAGTAGGTCATTTAGCTCTTCCAGATAGCTGGGATGAGAGTCGCTAAAAGAAGTAGAAAGAAATGCCATTTGTTCAGAGATGGTGCGACCCCACTTTGCTCACCTGCGTCGATAGTTGTCCGATAGCACGTGACTTGCAATTGCCCTGAATTCAGGAAAGTAGGTCGTGAATATGATCTTCTATCTTGCTACGAAGCTGGGAAGAAAGCACACGGATTCCTGCAGTGGATTCACAACACAACGGAACACGTTCGACTTGTAAACCTAGAGATGTAACATACGAAGCAACCTGCACAAGGAGGAGCTGGATGTGTGAAGTTTTGAGCTGAGTGACTTATGGATCCCATTCAAGATTCGCGAATTCTTTACACATATGTAAGACAAGTAGTGGACCGAGGACAGGATGAAAGTCAATCGGACGAAGAGTCTAGAGCGTTCTGATATCCCTCCGAAACAACTCAGTAACGAAGAAACTAACTAACTAACTTCTAAGCTCAACATCGATGCCAGACAATGGACGAGAGGATAAAAAAACAGAGGAGGTACAAAACAGAAGAGGCTAATATCTGTATTGATAGCCGCAGTAATGTTGTGCTCTTATGGAGTAACTGGGTGTTCATTGATAGGCTGGAAAAAGTACCAATGAGCGCTGCAGCAAGACTTCACGGAGACAATTAATTTTCGGCTTAGGTCCAGAGAAAAACAAAACAACGATCGATAAGCAACATGATAAGAGTACCTCGAACACTCTTTCCCTTATCACGAATGTTGTCAGGTACAGATGGCTGTCAGTTAGGTCCCATAGCTTTCGAACATCCTCAACTCGTCGGTCTTATAAGTCTCTGACGCTGACGGAGTCTCGTATCGATGTGAGCACAGCAAATTATGAGGCTGACGCTCAACTGGTCCTTTTCACCAAGGCATTGTTCGCACATGCTTCGATTTACTGGCTTGGTGCACAGAATGTACGAAGCTTCAACAGCATTACACACTACAGAGTCTTCGAAGAGTCTTCAACCTCTGAATCTATGGAAGTCAAGTGCTTGGCAACCCCGTGAAGCTATCAGCTGTACCGATAGTGGAAGCTCGAGCATGGTCAGCAAAGTAAGAACCCTTACTATTCCTATTCTGCAGTCAGTCACATATTATATACCTGTTTCGTAATTAAGAACGACTAATCTAAGCCTGCAGAAATCGGAGGGTTAGACAAATCCTTCTCAAATTTATCTTTTTGGTTTGGTGCCGGAACTAAGAAATCTCTGTCATGGAACCCAATTAAGGGATGGTTCTGTGTTGAATCCACTTGCGAGCTGCTTGCTAGGTACTGATTTCGAAGTTTTTCAACAATCGGCTGGGTTTCTCGAGAGCGAAGCCCTCGGACATGGCCATGGTGTTCGGCTGTTTTCGTCATAACAGAAAAACACAACCCTCCTTACATCTAATTATTGGAGATGCTCAGTAAGCATCGAGGCTAGCAGATAGATAGATTCGATTGTGTGCAATGATGCTCGTAGGCCATCGCCAAGCAGACAGTTGACTTCGAACAGATAGACCTATGAGTCCGAAACCTATGAGCGCTAATTGTTGACGATTCTAGCTCCAAGCGTGGAAACATCGGAGGAAAGTCCATGAAAGTGGATCACTGCTTGGAGTAGAAGTCAAGGATCAGAACTGACGGGACCAGAATCTCCAACCCCTGGCCTCGTATGCAAGAGATTCAACCGCGATTCAAAAAGTTCCCAATACTCACACAATAGTCCAGAGATGCACTCAACCACACCCAACGAATATAAAACGAGAACATTTATCGGGGTCATATCTCTAGAAAGTCCAGATTCTGGAACCGTACTCCACAATTTCTACACAATGGACCAGTTAGCATCGAGTCAATAGGAGAATCCGAGTCAACGTCACTGTCATCCTGATGCTCTGGATATGAGTAGTTGAACGACTTATGCCGAAGAGTTTATGTTGAAACTATAGAAAATCGAGCTCCATTGAAGGAGGGTCCCGGAAGTCATTCAAATAAGTTCAACCTCCGATGATGAAGCTCATGACATGGGTGCATTACACTTGACAGTGCGTAGATACTTCAGATGAAGGAGAATAGACGGAGATGGAGATTGATATTGTTCTCATAGCCTGCCCGAGGTTCTGGAACAAACACACACACACACAGAGCCCGTATCGCCTGTCCACGTAACAAAGATAAGTGACGGAGAGGATAAGAAAAGTTACAAGCAAGAGTTCCATATATAGCATTGGTTTCGTTCATATCGTGGAGGACGGTTGCCTGCTTGAGATCTATTGGTACGAAAAGAAGATTCAGCGAGGACAGTCTTACGTACAATGTCGACTCGAGTAACAGAATAGCGGCTGTTGGGGGCCTACACAGGACCAAAACGGAGACGTACTGAGATGATGAAGCGCACACAGTTAGTTACCTTGTTGCCGTCTCATTCCTGGGCTTTCATGACCGACGTGAGCTTAGAAACGAAAGTCAGTCAGTGTGAAGGTCAACTTTAACTCCTAGACCTTGACGCGTTACACACAGTGGCGCTGCAATGGGTCAGGTCAGTAAGTCACATTGTGACGTGCTCCACGGTTTTGCCAAGAGCATGTGAATGAGCTTCTGCCCCCTTGCCTCCACTGCTTGCAAACAACATCCTTAGAATTGACCGTCTTTCTCAGTGTGTACTGTATAGAAACCCCCAATTTGAGCAAGCGTCCTCCGAAATGTGTTAGCGACGCCAACCCGAGCTCCAGCTTCAGCCCCGTTTGACCCTTTCCTTGACCTTGATCTTACACCAGGCTAGAGAGACCATCTAGTGTCAAATATCACCAACTTTTTACAACACTTGAACAGGAGTTCCCTCTCTCGAAGTGTTGTGTGAGAGAGAGAGAAGAGAGAGAATTTGATCCACGACAACACGTGCCCAGAGTTGCTCGAGCATTTAGCTAGAGACACAGTCCCAGCGAGTGCATCACAATTACTTCACAATGGCACGTGCTTTATGCACTCACTCAATCACTCCTTCCTTCCTTCCTTCATCTTCATCCTTACTCCCTTCGCCGAACACACAACCTGATGGTGACGTGAATCTACCTGGTGTGTGTGAATCGATCTGATCTGTCTAGATCGATCAAAGGGTGCGTGCCCCTTCCTCTTGTATAACAACTCTGGCATCTCATGCTCGGTAAAGGGTAGATTTGCGAGGCAAGGGAGTGCAGTGAAGTGCAGTGGAGGGCAGGGCAGGGCAGTGGTGTGTAGAGAGCAGCCTGTAGGGGGCCTCGGATGAAAAGGACATTTTCTGTCGAGAAAGCTTGCGGAGTCGTCGAGGCCAAAGGACGGGGGCCCTGTGCACGGAGCTATTAATTCAATATCTCCCAGCGACTACCACCACTGTAGTCGTGATAATTTATGGGAGCGCGAATCTCGACCAGTTGACGACCTTTACCGCGTCCGACATGGGAGATACAGTGGCCGACCCCAACCACGTAAGACCGAGATTCGATCGCCAGATCCACTGGCATGCCAGATGGGGGCCCTCGGAGCCCCGCACAAGAATGTACAAATGGGATTGCCGCTGACGGGGCCGAGCGCAGCAGGTGCCGATTTGACTCCATGTTGTCGTTTGCGGAGCTCTCTCCACGGAATCTGAAGCCTGGCTCAAATCCGGGTGGCGCAGGAAGGCAAAAGGAAGGCCCTGCTTTCTCAAATTTAGAACGGAAAGGCCTCGAGTTTCCGCATCTCGGTCGTCAACTCGAGAAGGGGTAGAGCAGATTCAGACGCCAGGGGGCAATTCTTAAATAAAGAAAGACTTTTGCGTGCTCTGCTATTTCGTAATTTCCTCTCGCGTGCTAATTTAGTATTCTGGATGGGCATTCGTGCAACGGAGGAGGAGGAGGAGGAGCAGGAGGTAAAGCAACTTCGCAGCAGGATTCTCGCAGCTTACAAACTTTCTGCCAAATCAGTAACTCAACGCTGGAGCACCAGAGACATCGCTATGTGCCTTTGCCAAGTGTATTAGCGGTCCCTGTGCATCAAACATACTCGTCCCATCCCCAGCCATGCCATGCCAACCCAACCCAACCGCCCGAACATGTCCATGATGTTGTTTGTGCTCAGCAGAGGAGGCAGATAATTGCTCTTATGATCCTTATCTGTCCCTTGCACCCATGGGCCTATGACCCCGCACCAGCCACTCCTGTTGTCAATCAGGCAGCTGCTGGTGATCGGCAGCCCATGCCCATGGCCGAGCATAGAACGGCACAACAACGAAAACAATGTGGATCTAAGTTGATGGACTGCGGACGGTCATCGGGGCCAGAATCCATCCATTCTCGCACCGATCGAAATTAGAAACGCAGTGTCATCATCGGAACGAGATCCGCGGTTTGGAAATTATGCTCGATGGTCACAAGGTGCCGTCGTCCATCGGCAATGAACTGTTGTCGTTTGTGGCCTGGCCATCTGATGGCTGAGCTTTAGAGGTCGGACACCCAGAGCTACGATACAATCTTGCGCTCGGTTCAAGACGAGATCAGCCGAGCATTTTGGAGCTCCTCCACCTACTGCAGTTCCCGAATCGATCACCGGTGAAATGGGAAGTACGACAGCGAGCAGCTGCAGTCGAGGTCAGTCTGGGGCTGGGGCTGGGGCTGGGGGATGAAGACCACCATCGCAGATGCTCGCTCCACTGAGAGCGAAAACCATCGCACCACATGTCTGTTAACCTCTCGAGTTGGTTGGTGGGGAGAAGAAACACAATCAAAGCATTAAGTCCTCCTCATCTTACTACAAAGATTGACTGAGTTTACCCCACTGTACTGGAATCTCGGAAATATCTGCTGCTAAAGCCATCCATACTCCATCCGCACTCCACATGTCCCAAACAACAACCAGCCAGCCAGCCAGCCATCGCGGTTGGGAAGAAGCTGGAGGGAGACCCGCCAAAAGTTCCAGCAAAGTCATGGACCTTGACAAAGCAAACTTTCAGTCAGTCCTTCTCCTTCCGATTCGGATGGGGAGCTTTCGAGAAACCTTGGCACGGACTCCATCCACCGTCGAGCTGACCGCAGGCTGGCGATGGAGAGTGAGGAACCGAGGTGCGTTCCGGTCAGTTGCACTCCGCTCCAATGGCGTGGGCAGAGACGAAGGGGCGGGGAGACGGAGCGATGGATGGATGGCTTTCGGTTGTGCTCCGAGGCGCAGCGAGAGCAGTTGCTCGGGTTTTGCGCCGCAGAAGCCGACGGCCCCGCCCGCACTTTTGCGCTGGCGGTCCCCCCCGACTCCCGGACAAGCAGGGGCAGGGGGCAGGCCCGCCGGGAGCACGAGTTGACGAGCGCAGCCTTTATATACCGCAGCGGCCCAAATATTTTCCGTGGTCGACGGGGAGAAGAAGGAAGCTCGCAGCAGCAGCAGCAGCAGCAGCGGCAGAGGTGCAGGCATAGCACGGTTGCGCCACGGCATCCGAACATTTCTGCATTCCACCGCCTCTACGCCTTCTTCTTCTCTTCTCTCTCTCTGTCTCTCGCTCTCGGGAGATCCTCGTCGATCTCTAACTCAGGCCGGCCGCCATGTCGAACCTCAATGAGTTGGTCAACATGAAAATCGAGGATGTGACCGGCAGCATCATCGCCGAGTACATCTGGTACCTGAATATTCGCACCTGAGCTTTCTGGCCCTGGGCGGGCCATCCTCGTGATCTCCCCCCGGCTTGCAATTTCGCTGAGCACGAATTATGAACTGAATCATTCTTTGATCAGAGCTTTTTCAGCTGAGTTGAGTTGATGGCTGCTTAACATCCCTGGGCTGCGCACGCTCTGTCTTGCAGGATCGGTGGATCAGGTACCGATATTCGTAGCAAGGCTCGGGTGAGTATTCAATGCCCGGCGCCAACCAACTTCAAGCACTGCAGCTGCGAGAGTTGCATGTGTTCCGAGCAGTTTCTGTGTGTCCAAATCGTTGATTATTACGAAGAAAGCGCACTCAGCGTCTCGCAGACAGAGCTGTGAAATTATAGACGACGGTGCGAGGACTGTTCCGTTTCTTACATGTTGAAATTCTTTCGTTCAGACTCTTCCCGGACCTGTCAGCAGCCCGAGCGAATTGCCCAAGTGGAATTACGACGGATCGAGCACCGGTCAAGCGCCCGGAAAGGACAGCGAAGTCATTCTCTAGTAAGAAGTTTCAGCTAGCGGCCTGTTCTATCCAGAATCGCAATAATGCATTCCGCAGCAAAGCTTGCGAAATTCTGCATTTTTGTCAATACTGCTGCGCATGGTGTCGATGTTAACGTGGGCTTTTCTTTGGTGCCACGCGCAGCCCCCAGGCTATCTTCAGGGATCCATTCCGCAGGGGAAACAACATTTTGGTATGTGCTACTATCAGTTTCGAAGCGTTACTTGTCACTTTATTGCCTTGCCAAAAATCTCTGGGCTCGTTATGCGTTGCAAGAAGGTGTAGGAAGTAGTTGTATTCTGCGAAATTGGTATCGGGAGGCCAGTTACGAGAGAGACATCGTTGCTGACGATAATCGGACGCAGGTTGTCTGCGACTGTTACACCCCACAAGGCGTGCCGATCCCCACCAACAAGCGTGCTGCTGCAGCCGAGATTTTCAGCAACCCTGACGTGGTCAAGGAAGAGCCATGGTCTGTAGCCCTCACGTCTCAGTCACTCTTAATATATCAGCTCACAGTAATTCACGAAATGCTGAACACCTGAAGGAGAAATGTCTGCCAATTTGTTCAGAGAATAATCGTTTCTCAACCCGCAGACTCAATCCACTCCCATCGCAGTGAACTTATACTGCTGGCTGGTTGATTTTACAGGTACGGCATCGAGCAGGAGTACACTCTGCTCCAAAAGGAAGTGAAGTGGCCAATTGGCTGGCCGCTGAATGGCTACCCTGGACCCCAGGTCGGTCTTCTTTCTTTATGCACCGAGGGATAAATTCTAAGTGGTTAACTGTACACATCCAGAGCATGGAGACTTCTGTACTGACTGCCAAATCGTTCGCTGTCTGCAGGGACCCTACTACTGCGGGACTGGAGCAGACAAGGCTTGGGGCCGAGACATTGTGAACGCGCACTACAAGGCCTGCTTGTACGCAGGCATCCAGATTGGAGGCATCAACGGGGAGGTCATGCCGGGACAGGTAAATCGATCGGACCTTCCACAAGGCCAGGCCGGAGGAATCTCGATTCATCGTGCCCACTGACAGCACTGGCATCAGTCCTGCTCTCTGCAGGACTGATGCCAAATTTCGGGCACATGCATGATCGGGCCACTGCCCATGCCCGCAGCATGTTCAGCAAGTCGGAGTCGCCTTCTGACCTGTGGACTGGGATGATGGTGGTTGTGGCAGTGGGAGTTCCAAGTAGGTCCCTCCGTCGGCATCGCCGCCGGCGACCAGCTCTGGGCCGCGCGTTACATTCTCGAGAGGATCACGGAAATCGCAGGAGTCGTCCTTTCGCTCGACCCCAAGCCCATCGAGGTACGCTTGCCCTTCCAGGCCATCCAGCAGTGGATTTTTCTTCATTCAATTGGAACTGTTTCCATCATCGATCAGTTTTCGCACTGACGTGCTCGTCGGTGCTCTGTATGTATCAGGGAGACTGGAACGGGGCCGGATGCCACACCAACTACAGGTAACAGCCGCAATTCATGCACGTCGTTGTACTGACTCCCGAGCGGAAGCTGCTGCGTTCTGGAATTGGAATGGGGTGGGAGTGGGTTGTGGGTGGTTTCGAGAGGACATGTCAGGGTGGGCAGGCTGAGCTGGCCGACTGACGGGGGCTATGGTGTGTGGTGGGTGATGACAGTACGAAGACCATGCGCGAGGAGGGAGGCTACGCCGAAATTAAGAAGGCCATCGAGAAATTGGGCCTGAGGCATAAGGAACACATCGCTGCGTACGGTGAAGGCAATGAGCGCCGTCTGACCGGCAAGCACGAGACTGCGTCCATCAACAATTTCTCATGGGTACCCCTCTCGTACTCTTGCTCTGGCTGCGATGTCAATGATGTCAGTGTCTACAGGGACCGACAATCGAGGTTCAACTTGTCCGACCGAAAGCTATTTTAAGGCTTGGCATGAATCAATTTCGGCGCTGGCCACCTACGACCTCGCTGCGGTTGCCTCCGCAATGCTTGGCCAGATTCTCGAAACGCAGCCAGATGGCGCTGTTTGGACATGCCTGCCTGCCTGCCTGCCTGCTGAAGCTCACTCCGGAATTCTCGTGTGTCTTGCAGGGAGTCGCTAACCGTGGTGCATCCGTCCGCGTTGGCCGCGACACCGAGAAGGATGGCAAGGGTAAGATGGCTTTCCACTCGTATTCACTTTCCTTTGTCCTCATCGACGACGATGCGCAGCGCTTTTCTTCCGTGACGTGAGCCAGGAAGGTGAGGTCACACAGGCGATGTAAATCAGCCCTCGGAGTGGAGTGGAGTGGAGTGGACCCAGGCCTCAGCTCAAGCCGCGGATCGAAATAGTTTACAGCAGAGTTGATACAGTGAGCTTCGGCCATGGATTTCAGAACTGCTCGGGCGTCGACAAAATCGGAATTGCCGATTAGAATGCCATGAAAGGCGGAGCTGGAAACTGAAGTGACTGAGAGTCTGAGAACTGAGAGACTGAGTGACTGAGAAACTGAGAATTGAGAGACTGAGAGACTGACTGTGGTTTCCAATTTTCGCTTGTGTGTTTTTGTTCAGGTTACTTCGAGGATCGCCGTCCCGCATCAAACATGGACCCCTACATCGTCACCTCGATGATCGCACAAACAACCCTTCTGATGAAATGAAAGCGAAGATCGGATGCTGTTTGCTTCTGGGTAGTTAGTGCAGCGATAGCAGCGGTGTTATTCAAACTGAGGCGACTGTGTAGAAAGCGATGTTGAGAAACAAAGCAGCGGGGAGAGAGAGGACCATGTTGTATATGTATGATCATGGAAGGATAAATTGGCGTGGCAATGAGTTCATAGAGTCCGGCAGGAGAGCCGTACCGAGTAACATTCACGTGAGCTTGAAATCTCGCGTCCTCACACGCATCGTCATGCGAGAGAGTTGAAGTGAGAGTGTATTAGCTGCAGCAGCAACCTGAGTGGAGAAAAGGCATCGCAAGAAGAAGGCGATCGGCGCTGCGTGGGTCGATTGGTTTCCTCAAAGAGTTAATAGGGAATGTATGGCATGCCCCCCAGTCGCCCACAAGGCGTCGCGAGCTCGGAAGAGTAGTAGAAGCAAAATTGTCTTTAGTTTGAGGTGCCGACAGAACTGATGAAGCATTCCCAAGGAGGTTGATCACGCACGAGTGTTGTGGAGGGCAGCCGAGTATAGCAGCATGAAGTACTGAAATCTGGAAAGCTTCTTAGACCACACCTCTTGTCGGACTGTTCTCGCCGCCAACAATTAATAAACAACTCATTCAATGGGACTGATTTTCATTGTTTCTCGTGTTCGTGCTCAGACATTTACTTACAGCAAGATATTGGTCGCTTTTGTCATCCTGCTGTTTCACTGTACTTGTCTCATTAGACAGATGCACTAGACATCAGACGCATTAGATTCTCTTCAGTCATGAATAATTAGAACTCACTATTTCAAGGTATCACGTGTTGGTCAGTGGATTCGCAACGAGAATCGTAACTCCAAGTACGGCATGTAATGCAGTTGAAATGACTCTTTCTAGGAATTAGTCAATTTTCGACTTTCTGGTCAAACTTTTCTTCAGTACTTTTCGTAATTATTAGGCCTCTTCAATCCACACACATTTCGCCTTCTAACGATACCGTTAGATCCCAATTGACTACATTCTGCGTTGCAAAGTTGTGCTGAAAATCATTTGTCTCTCAACATAGGAGCCTTTGTCTCTAATCTACACCCAGCAATCTAATATCATACTAAGAGTGAAGGAAAGAGCTAGTTTCTGTCAGACAGGTCAGAGTCGAGACCTGTGCTGAGTTTGACCGAAGAAAACGATTCATGGCAGAACCCAAACCAATTGAATGAAATACATTTATTGTGCGGTGATTCAAGGGAGGACCGCACTGATTACTCATGTTGCGTCCAATAGCTTCGTAGTAGTTTTCGGATAATTCCCTCTGAGGAGAGTGATGTGAAAAAGGTTAGAGTCCTAGTTTGCAATCGATTCTTCACCTTCGTGAAAACAATCTCACGTGGGCCTGTTTCATCCTTAGAAGTTAAAGACGACTTTTGAAATAGAAAATCAGTGTCTTTCTTCCTCTTGTGTGGACTGACCTCCTGATGGTGGGTATACTGAGTTTTGAATTTTCTTAGAATCTGGGTGAAAGTTAGGGATGATTTCCATAACATCATCAAAATACCACTTAAGATTCTTGGTAGTGTGGCTTTGGGCTGTTATCAGAAAATTTCAGTTGGGCCGCTAGAATTGCTACTGCTTCAAGTTTTGGGTCTTGCAGAATCAAGGAGTGTAGACAATGTTAGCAAGTGGTTACAGTCAAGATGTATGGAAAGTAGATTTCTTGAACGAACTCACTTTATGAATTTTTCCTGCTCCCTGTGACTTGTTGCTCAAACACCAAGACTTGGTGTTGACATAACAACTGTGCGTGGAGTTCTTACCATGTAGTGCACCGTGAGCCGTACACTCTCGAGTGTTTCGATATTCGCTCTCATGTATGAAATCTATGCACCCGTCTGCAGAGTTGGCAAAACATTCTCATAGCTGTTATCAGACCGAACCATTGACATCCTTGTGATGGAAGATCTGGAAGATTGGAAGAATCTAGCCCTATTCAGATACTCCCATTATTGCTTATCCTGTGTAGACCAAGTAAACATCAGAAAGTTCCAGCTCCAATCGTCTATCGTGCTGCAAACCAGTCATGCTTCTCAATGTACCCTTCCGAATGGTGACTTTGGCTGCCACCATTTGTGAATAGTATATTGTTATTTCCAAGTCCATACGTTTTGCATCACATTTTTCCTTTGTAGACCACTCTTCACCAACTCCTGCAAACAGCAACGTTTGGTAAAACAACAATTCTTTCAACCCAACAATTTTTGGGTTCATAAAATACAAGACCTACGTAACACAGCTCGGTCTATGCTCATTGACTCTGTAGGTTTAAGTGCATCCCAAACACAACTGTCTGCCAGTCCGCTATGAATAGCTCAAAACAACTATAAGTGGAGAGCAGATGACATGATGAGAAGGTGGTGCCGATGGCATCAGAACTGATGGCACTCTTAAAGAATCGACGTTTCTTTATATGGTATTTTCCGATCTAAAACATTTTTATGTACAGCTTCTTGAATATCCAAAGTAAACTGTAGGTAAAGACTGCTTTCGGCATTTTGAACATTTTTATTACCCGAGGTATCTGTACAATGGGTGTGACACTTAGGGAGATATTTTTTCTTTCAACTTGAGATGCGCTACCCAGGAATAAGGAATCTTGGTATAAGGACCACTTTGACCCAGAATAAAATCGTCCTCATAGACACTCGAGGAAATTTGATTTTGAGGGAAGTTCATGACACGAAGTACCTAGACCATTGAATAATCATCGACACGGATTCGTGTTGTTGTTTGACATAAAACATCGTAGGGCAAAACTTGCATACGGTTGTTAGAATATTTTCGGGGTATTTCAATCTATAGTGCCCTGGTCACCCTTCCAAGCGAAATCCTTCGCAGCTCTGTCAACAACCGTTGTGGCAATGGCCAAAGACGAAGTGCATGCAGGAGAGGGAGCATTTCGAACATTCAGGACTACTCCAGAGCTCAAGCTTTCGAATAGAAAGTTTCCGACGATTTGCCCGCTGTCATCTATAGCCACAGCATGCACTCCAGCCCACCCCGTTGTTGTGTGTTCCACCTGCAACTTGGGACAATATCTGCGTGGAAACATCAAAATTGGTCAGAATGCGGACCGAATCTGTGAACAATTATGCTCTAAGCGGAATTTAGGCCGACAAACCTTCACTGATGGTTCCCATAACATCTTGAATCTCCCAAATCCACCCACCCCGTTTGGAAAAACTCGTATTCGGACAACTTAAGATTTTTTCCGCCTACTTTATCACATCTGAATGCTCTCTTCATCATGAGTCTCCAGAAAACTAGAAATAGGATGGCCTTACTAATTTCCATTCGAAAGTTGGTAAAGGTACTCCTAACATCATAATTATGTATTTGAGTTTCTTTATATTTTGCCAGAAGATGGCCTCCATTCCTACTCTGCTAACCGGGAGGTCTTTGATGAAGAACAGGTACCATACAAGCCAACACGGACACGACTCATTCAACCCGCATTTAGTAAGATGAGCCTGAGTTTGCAGATTGATTTGAACTCTGCAGGTTACTGCCTTGTATAACAGGCAATGAGAACCGAAAGGATAAACTCACCTTTGTGCTTCTCTAACGAAGGCTTTGGTGTTGATATCTCGCCAGATCTCTTGAAAGACAATACCTGGATTTCCGAGGACAAGCTTCCAAAGTCCTCTGTTCAATCCAAACGTAATGGCATCTTTCAAATTGACGTGCCAGAATTTGTAACCTTCTTTTGCCAGAGCTAGCGCAGAATTAGGACCAATCAGAACTCGTCCATCCGTTCGTGGTGTCAAATGGACTCCCACCATAGGGAATCTGCGCATAGATTAATCACATCCTCATGAGTTTGCGTGCAGTGGCATGCTCAAAATTCAGGTTTAGTATATGTAATTATCTCCAATTTTTTCCACAACAGACAAGGTTACAGCATCCCGAGAAACATACAAACAGACCATCTGGATCTACATCATCTATCATTCCTGCCCTACACAAAATATGTTGTGTGTAGGCCTGCAATACAAGATGAAAATGGCTAGAGAAATGGTAGGAATCATGCATTTAGGTTGGCGAGCTTTACTGCTTAGCCTCGCTACAATCCAGTGACATGGGGCCTCATTTTATGTCAGTGGAGACTGATATTATGAAGCTATTTTTCGACCAGGTAGCTGTATTTGCAAGAACAACGGAAAACGCTTTCAAACTTGAATAGGTACAATGGAAAATATGCTCACGCTGGATCTGGCACTGGGTAAATGTTGCGTTTGATTAGATTACGGAACTCTGGTCTCAGCTCGTGATAAGTGCCCCGGAAAGGAAGCACCGTAGGACCCTTGGCACCACCAGCCATTTTCCCCACGTAGTCCGATTGCAGCCCCGCGCAAGTTATCAGCCATCTGGCCTTCACTGTCTCCCCGGTTTTAGCCTGCACTTCTACACCTTTAACCTCGTCTGCAGATACATTTTTTGCATTGAATCTGCATGCAGCGAAAGAGAAAGAAGCCACTGTTATTTTCACAGGTTCCGACGCAATAAACCTACACATTCTTCACCACTCTGTGCAGCACGGTTCGATTCTTACCTTGAAAACTTGCAATAGGATGAAATACTTCACAACAGCATCACAATCAATCCTAACAACAAAATTAGATAAGCATGCAGATGATGTCGTGTGCATGAACTGTGAAAGAAATCTGAGATCGAAATTAAGAGCAATGTTTCGAGAATCTATTGTAAGGCATAGAAGGGCTGAATGAAGAGGAACTTGTACCCAGTCCGTATCTGTCCTCGTCCGTTTCTGAGAAAGTCGTCTGCATAAGATAACGCAATTCTGGCATAGTTTGCGATGCCAGTGTTCGGAGAATGAAGAGCTCGAAGAGCCCTGACGTTGGGCTCCAGGTCGGTGATCTGCTTCGGGCTAAGCAGCTCAAGACCTTGCACACCGTTGGCAGTCGCCCTTTGGTGCAGATCTTCCAACACTGGCAGCTCTCGTTCCCGTGTGGCGACTATTAGCTTGCCCACCCGTTCATGAGGAAGGTCATTTCTTTCGCAATATTTGTACATTCTTCGAGCTCCATCAACGCAAAGTCTGGCCATTTCGGTACCCGGCTGGTAGTATATACCTGCATGAATCACTCCACTGAAATCCCATCTTCCTCGATCAAATTCCATTTTATTTTTTTTTATCGAATTTTACTTCGCAGATGAAGTTTGAAGCCATGGCCAAACGAAACCCTAGAGAAGTTATGATATTATGGCAAAGTAGGTTCGTATTACACCATCGCTGTAAAAGGGATTCTCTGTGAAGACCATGAAAGCTCGAAATTTGCTAGTCCGTCTCAAAACTTGTAACTCTGACAACCTACAGACCCCCCTTTTCAGCATCAAAATCAAATGCTAAGATTTGAAATTCCAAATCTTAATGTTCACCAGCCTCTTGTCTGGGAAGTCCATGCCCACGGTCCCTTGGATGAATGCATGTACGTAGTTGATTGATCTCACTCGCGCAGTACACGAGCAATGTGCATGCTGCGACGTAAAGATATCAGATTGTGTTCTACCGAGCACAACTCCACAACGAGAAACATTTCGGCTGTATGAATACCGCAGAATCCGCACAACCCTGAGTCGATCATCACCTGTGCTCGTCGAATCGTTCAATACTTTTCAGAGAAACCGAACTTCGCGAAAGCTATAAGATCGACGGCCTCGAATTTCTAAGGCGGTGCTCGACGAAGGGTTTAGGGCTCGACAAATTACCCACCTGTTGTGTGATGTTTGGTGCCTCACGAGATCGTTTTCCTTCTCCAAGACAACGACGGACAGTTTGGGGAACCTTTGGGTGATCTCCCGCGCAGTCGCCAGTCCGACAATTCCTCCGCCGATGATCGCAACGTCCGCCTTGTTGCCCTTCAGCGGTCCCAGAACAGCCCCTGTAGACGATGCTGCCACACTGCTGTTCCATCGCCTTGAATGGATGCCCGGAGCCACAATTCTTCCGCTCTGAGCCAGAGAATCTCTTCGCACCGTGCGCTCGCACGGTGCGAAGAGTCTGGTCTCCGCTCCTTCTCGATCTGCAGACCCCGCGAAACCCCGGGCGAAATTCACGCTGCCAAAAGAAGCTCTCGCTCTGAGAATCTGCAAAGCTCGAACTCCCATCTTCCCTTCCATCAATACAGAGTCATCCGATCATCCGTTTCCACTCTGCGTTCCCGTGGAGACTGTCCTCCGCGAGTGTCTCTCGTGCGCTTCCCGTTGCAGAGAGCGCAGCAGCGATCGCACGAATTTCAGAGAGGTCGGGTCTTCGAGAGTCAGTTGTTCGCGTTGCAAAATGATCGAGCGGATCGCCATGGGCGAGCACGGCGAATCTGCGAACGATGCAGCGGCAGGCGATTGCTGCCTGCGCAAGGAGATCGGGCCTGCATTCTTCGGGGACGTTGTGTGACGAGGCAAGAACCGAGGAGCAGGACCTGCACACGTGGCATGTACTTTCCAGTTGTTAAGTACTCCCCGCCTCCGTGACTCAGCAGCAGACAGACTGCTGACCGGACCAGCGCCCGCCTACTTGCTCTTCAACCCGCAGTTTCCACATCAACCGGCGATTCCCCGATCTCCCGATCCGGAGATCCCCGATCAGCTTCCCGGCAATCGCAATAATTCCGGTGCCTCTCTGATGATATTGACCGTAAACCTGTTCTACACTGCCGTAGATTTTCTAACAAGTTTTACAGGCCCGCAAAAGTCGAAGAAGACATTTGCTGGACCCCAAGATATACGTCTTTTAGCCGATCAGCTGTCGGGTTTCTTTCAAGTTTATTCAATCAATTTTGCCATATTTGATAATGACTAATATAAACAAGAAGTATTTTCAGAGCTTTAAGATATTCTCCGTTCTTTCATCACGACTTAAGACATATGAAGATGTATTCTTTGTTTTTATAAAATTGTAACATAGGGACGGACGGATATAATATTTGGTACATCGATGTGTATTGCGTGCACTCGCGAGAAAATGTGAATGGGCCAAGATCATGGATAACGCATTTACACACAAGATGAAGAAACAATGAAGATGTGAGCGAAGCTAAACAAGGTGCAAATTTAAAATGAACACCAAAACCGAAAATATGCATTTTGCAGAAAAGCAGAAGACATCAAATGAAAGGGCAAAAGACACACAAATGAAAAAGCTAAATGCCGCAAGCAAATAACAAGATCTAAGACATAGGATGTAATAAATGCCAGTAACAAGGCACAAACTCGAGCAAATATCAAGACTACACAATAGAGAATTTGCTGCAAGCACAAAATATGCACAATGTTGCAAAAATCAAGAAGTAAATTTGATCAAATTGTGATCACAAGTAGAAACCATGAACTCAAGAAATAGAGAACAAATGCTTGAGAAGAGACTGTATACTCCTCAAAAGAAGTTAACGAAACCCACATACGATCATTCAGCAATGACAAGTACATGGATTCTCAGAGCTGTGCACAAAAATTCTCATCGTTAAATATATTACAACGTTATTCGATATTCGTTGCTGCGTATACCCCAACCAAAAAATAACACTCACAATTAAAAAAAAAGTCTTTACTCCTCATGTTCTTGTTGTATTCCAGGATGTTCATGGGACTGATTGATTCACAAGCAACGGATTTGGTGGAACATTTTTCAGCCTAGAGCCGTGAATTCCATCATTGCTAAGAAGGATAAAAATTGCTGGAAGACTTTAAAGAATGTCGAAATCGAAATCTCCAAAATCTCATCCGTAAGGTTCAATTAGACAGATTCGACCTCGTAGTCATGTCTAAAATCGTATTGATTGGAGCAGCCAGAGGCCACTTGGACTTTTTCCTTGTCGTGGCGATGCATTTTTATATCTTTACTGTACTCTTTGGAAGAACAATTGGACGTCACAAGTCACACTAGCAAGCAAGAAGCCTGAGAGAGAATCTAAGAAGGATAAATCCATCATGGGGAACTGGATGTCAACGAAGTCTCTGTATTTACCTGATTTGACATCTGAAATCAAACATATTCCTTGAGACCGCTGGCGGTTTTCGTGTCACTTTAATTTCTCCCAGGGACAATTTGTACTCTCTTCTCTGTCTTGGCACAGCACGAATCTTCTTCCCAAGTTTTCCAGGCGAAATGTGAGCTGGACGCAGCCTGACGGACTTTTCTGATCCATCAAGATCTGGATTTCGCCGCATGAGAACCCAATCATTCTTGATAGACTGTACATACTAGCCTCGGAGACGGAGCCCTCCAAGATTAGTTGCTCATACATAAATTACTTAAAATGTTCAACTCAGACATGTTGGACATCGTGATCATGTTGAATTGTGCAGCGAGAGGCAACTCTTATTCATTCCAGATTTTCTTTCTTCGAAATTTTCGAAAACTCTTGTTCACAGGACCGAACGAAGTGAACAGAATAGTTCTAAACATTCACATCTACAAGCAAGAAGCCTTGGACCTGCCACTCTTATAATCGATTAATGATTCATCAGAGCATACCCGTGAAATATTATCGAGAATAAATTGAAGAAGCCAGTGGATCGACTTGAGAAACGCAAAAAGTGAAACAGCCTCAATTAGCCGCAATGAGATTGAATATGTGTTCAACATTCGTCCCATGCGGAAAGTAGTGATTCCAAATTCTCAGGCTGCACGATGAATCGTGATAACATCTTCTGTAAATGAGCGAGCAGAGTTTGCAGCAAGATTCTATAACGCTCTTCCACATCGAATTGAACTCCTGTCCTCCTTGAAACGGACAGTAATTTAGTGCGAATCCAGCTTGCCCGTAAAAATCCATGAGATCAGCTGATAGACTCCATGTTCGAGATTCAAATGCTCGCGTGACGAACGCTGACAAGGGGAGATTCTAATAGGCATCGCCTTGAAAGGGCAAGTGGATCCGCTCATCGATCGGAGCACCGGTCTGTCAGGAATGCCGTCGTGAAACAGGTCGCAGTCGATCTGCACAAGTCTCGAATTTCGACGAGAACATGGTGCGTAGCATACAACCCGAATGGATCGCAGGGCCCGTCCCGCCCCCGAGAGCTCAAGAAACCATCAACGGAATCTACTGGGGCTACGTGAAAGAGAAGAACGAAGAGCACAAATCCTGGCACCAGCAATTTCGCAAGCCATGGGAGTTGGGCAGGCACAAGAGGGACTTTTGTGGCCAGATCCGCACCTCGAGAACCGACGACCACAAGTACGTGTTCTACTTGCCCGGCCGAGAAGCCAGAGACCACCACCTGAAATGCGTGGACGAGACGAACGCGTGGCGAGCTCGCACGCTGCTGAACGAGAACGTCAAAGCGATGCTGGCGAAGAATTTCGCGTGCGAGAAAAAACGGCACTACTTCGACACGATGAAGAGGCACAAGGAAGAGCAGCAAGCGCTGTGGTCCAAGGCCAAGAAGAAGCTCCTCTACATCAAAGACGAGGACGTCGCCTCCGAGGCGCCTCGAGCCCGAGATCTACCGGAATTCAACCCTCTCAAGCCATTCGAGGAGATCAAGTTGGGGATTGCCAAATGCTCTGGCGTGTTTTATCCGCAGTACGTGAATCTGCCCGCTCTCGGGAGGTACATGGCCAACTTGGACTCGGTTAAGAGAGGACTCGTGGCGGCGCTGAAGGACATGCCCGGGAAGGTGCCCAACTTGATGGGCAACTTCGCCACGGAGCTCGAGTTGAACTCTCCATCGGCTGAATCTGGATCCGCCGCTCTCGACCTGCTGGAAATTCCGATTTTCGAATCGAAGCTCGCCAGCCTTGTGGCAGAGTTGAAAGCTAAGCAGGCTCTACAACCTGTGATCAAAGACGCAGATCGATACACTTCATCGCACGCCATTAAAGGAGTGAGGTTTTCATGACCCCCACCCGCAATTTCATAAACCGCGTGAATAACGTTTCACTGCCCAGTAAGGTTATAAACGTAAAAATACTCAATCCAAAGATCGTTGAATTCACTTGCAGTGTACTTCCAGAGAACAAACACTTCAGTGCTCATCCATGTTTCGACGAAAACAAAGTTACTTCCTAATCATCTTAGGTCGGTAAAGAAGCAATTGCTTCCGAATTAAAAGTAAAAGTTTTAAACCGGATAAAATTCCAGTTATAACTGCTGCTCCATGTGTCGGCATAATCAATGGTTGTTCATAATCATTTTCTATTGGTAAAATTAATATAGCACATCATTTTCTTTTTAATGTAAACATCGTCTTCGGTCACACTAGGGATGTATTTAATGTAAAGACCGTCTTCATGCCCGTCTAGACATCACCAAGATTCGTAGAAACACAGCTATACTTTTTGGCTCACTGACAGTTAAATGTCATTGTTTCTAAATGACATTTAACTGTCAGTGTTTCTAAATGAGGGCCGATCATCAGTGTGGCTTTTGACCAATTTAGATTCAAATGAGTAGTTTGACATCGTGCTAGTTAGAAAAATGTGAAATTGCAGAATTAATCGCTTCTGAGAGTTGGACGATGATAGTGGTGAAGAAAGTACTTTGTATAATGGATTATATAGCTGCAGGAACAAGATAGAATTTTATTTGAACTTGACTCCCAAAAAGTGACTTCAGGAGGTAGTATACCCATTTGCATTAGATTCTGTCTTGGCTAAAATTCACATAAATTATATGCCATCCCTCTCAGTTAAAATCGGATGTAAGAATATTACAAAATTGGTATTAAAAAGCTTTGCACTCGAAAGGATGGCAGATGATTTATGGGAAATTTAACCAAGTCAAAACTCATTCCAAATGTATATACTCCATCTTGTTTCCTGCTCCCTCCCATGAAGCAAATTTGTTGGAACGAAGTTAGAGACGTAACATGTTATTGTAGCTATGTATTCCATCATACAAGCACGTTCTTCAAGACTATAGTAAAGCATAACCGCTACGGAGGCCCTTATAGTCGATAGTGTAAGACACTCTGCATGTAAATCTGCCATGATAAATGACATGCTGCTCTGGGCCGACACGAGCTTCAAAAGTGGCGCTTTAGTTAGACTGTGAAAGTCCATAAGTGCACAAAGCAACCAACAAAATACAGAGGTAACTAATCGCCAACTGCATCGAGAATTATTCGACACGGTTTTGCTATCTAGTGGATTGTCATGTTAAAATGCAAAATGTAGAACAATGGAGACTTTCATGGTCTCGAACCCTTCACTGTGGAACATCTCTCGATGGGGTGGCCTTTTCGCACCCCCAAACCATCACGGACAGCGCATTCGCTCTCAAGTTGGTCTTCGTCCGCAACGAAGTTCTGCGGGCGATGTCCCTCAACCTCCCTCCTCTTGGCCACCTTTGCCCACCTGCGCTGAGAGCAGCGGTCCAGTGGGCCTCATAAAGTCCAGAGACAGAGCCATAAAAGCAGATCTTTTGAACTTGTCAGATTTTAAATGATGAAGACTTTGCCCGTGGAAACTAATATATTCTTCCGCCCTCGAGCTGGGGACGGAATAGAAAATGTGCCTCTGTCTCCGCATGGACGACCACGATACCACGTATCACTTCCTTGGCAAGCGCACTGGCAGGCTCACATGGCTATCTCACATGCTCACAAAAGTGAGTGGAGGAATCCGCACAACGCTCACAACCATTAGCATCCAAGACGATCGAAACGAAGGCCAAGGACGAGGAGGAGTAAATGCATTTCTCTGCATCTAGCTAGCGATCTTCCAGAGCGACATCCGATTGGGCAGTCTTCGGGTCACGATGATCGTCGTCGTCTTCTTCTTGCACAGCGCCAACAGCAGCGCCACCGGTGGTAGGCAGACCGACGAACACCTTGAAGCTGTCGTAGATGCCCCACTGAGCCGCCGTCAAGGTACCGATCATGAAAATGCGCAGGGGAAGGCCTCGGGTCAGCAGCGCCCTGGCGCCCATGTCCTTCACGGCCTGTGAAACGGTGGCTCCCTGCGAATTGTTCAGGTACGAGACCAGATTGTCGGCCGGATGCGAGATGACAGCACACGCGATCCCCGCGATGTACCCGGCGACGAAGCTCACCCCGAGCTGCGTGCCGGGCGAGCACTTGTCCTTGGGCAGAGGCACCACGTGCTTGTAGAGAGCGTCCACGGTGCTCTCGAAGGTGGCGAATTTCATCATCGTGTAAGGAATCTGCCTCCCCCAGAGCGGCACCAGCCCTTTGTACAGCCCGCCCATGCCTTCCTTGGCCAGCAGCTTGGGCATGCCGTCCATGAGCCCCTTGGCGAAGCCGGGCTGAGTCTGGACGCGCACCTTCACGGCCTCGAAGGGCGAGAGGCCGAGATCGGCCAAGAACTCGGCGGAGGCCGACGCCGCGAGGTAGAGCACGGTCTTGTACTTGAGCGCATTGTCCACCCCCACGGCCTCCGAGTACAAGTGCTTGAAAAGCTCGTAGAAGCCATACTTGCCGGCGCCCTGGACCGAGTAGCCCAGAAAGGTGGGCACCCAGCCGCGGAACAGCCCCGCCACGCCCTGCTCGGCGATCGCCGTCCGGAAGCCTGCGCCGATGCTCTTATACTTGACGGGGTCGATCTGCATGTTGCATTTCACCACGTCCACGGGCGTCATGCTGCAGTGCGTGACCCCGCAGCAGAGCATGCCTCCCACGGCGCATGTCAGAAAGTATTTCGTCGAGTAGAGGTCGATTCCGAACCCCGCTGGCTCGCTGAAGGACGGGATCATGAAGCTCGAAGCCGCCGCGCTGATCCTCCGCTTCGGAGCCTGTCGAGTCTCCGACCTCGTCGAGCCCGAGCCGCCGAGACTCGGCTCTGCTGCAGCAAGAGGATTGCGCCGTCGGCTCCACTGCTGCAATGCGCTGGCGACGTGAGGGGCGCAGGTGTAGAGATGGTCCGGAAGAAATTTGTGAAAGCCCCTGTCGTTCGACCTCGGGGCCGCCATTTTTTCTGCGATCCTCGAGGTTTCGGCAGAGGCCGGAGCGCTTCGATCGCCAGAGATCCAGAGATCCAGAGCGGATAAGCTCCGGGCGCCGAGCTTCAGACAGCTCTCATGAAGGTCGCTCGCTCTGCGAGCTTCATGAGAGCTCGCTGCGAGGTGTCCGCCATTCGGACCGCGCCCAGCGCAGACGCCGCTGCTGCCACGTGGCTAGGCCCGGCCCCCACTTTCCAGATGGCGGTCCAAGTGGCGTGCTCCTCCGCTGGCAACGTGGCGCTGCCTGCCCCGGCTGCCGTCTACATAGCTCGTCATTCTGCCACTCCGACGGATTCGGGAGACTGACTCGTAGAGAGTAGTACCGAATGAAAGACTGACTCGTAGAGAGTAGTACCGAATGAAATCGAGCGTGAGAGATGCGATTAATTGGATTGTGGGAATTCCGATGTCTACAATCCAGACCGAGCAACTAATTTCGAAGAGATGCAATTAATTGGCGGGCTGGATTGTGGAAATGAGGACACCTCGAATTCGCAGCCTCAGAGAAATGAGCGAATTTCAGCTTCCTCTGTAAACTTTTCGTCGTGCCCGTCGGTAAGTGCGCGACCCTGAAGCACGAAAGGAGAAGCGTGGAATTGTGAGCGGTAGCATTCAGTGGGAGGAGTCTTCGTAGCGGTTCGGTGCGAGCATAGTGAATTCTTCATTGATGAATTCACTAAGACGTCCTTTTTAATTTTGCGGAGTTATTTGGAATGCTCTCTCTCTGGAATCGAACGAGTTTGCTGTGCTCGGGTTTGGTTCTAGACAGTCAAGAGGACCTCGAAGAACTGCCATGACTTACTGAGATCGTAAGAGCGGTACGGAAGAAATTATGCAGGTGGAATGAGGCTATCGATCTCTGGAGGCTCCGAGGTATCAACCAAAGGTGGCAGGATTTGCCACCTTTGGGCATATCAATCACGATTGACACCTCAATATTCCGGCAGCTGCGGGCTTAGACCTTCAACAGGAAGAGCCGTGGCAAAAGAAATGTTGAGGAAGTCGTTGAAGCCCATGTAAACTTTCGCAGCAGAACAAGACCATGCACTCCAGATCTAGAATGGGGGAAGCTCGATAGATAGTCGATCGATCAAAGTTCGGGTCCGTCATGACCTGCTCATAACGAAGTCCGAGGTGTTCGTTTACAGATCCAATTCAAATCCAGTTTGTACTGACTGGCATTGGACTTCAAAGATCTCTTCTCGCGGCTCTCTCTACGTGCTGTTTGTGGAGGCAAACGAGGGCCTGGATGTCACATGCCCATCTATCTGCCTCACATCCACCGTTTAATTTTTTGATCCAGTCATGTTGCACATATGAGTACTGAATCCCAACCTTTCTCGTCTCCGAGCTTTTATGTGACCCGGAACATATAGCCCATAATCTGGGGCTTTTAAGAAGTAGAGAGCTACATTCACATACAGAGAGTTACGGAGAAACACAGAGAAGAGGAGGAACAGAGATCCCCGAGTCATCCCTACTCTACAGCCAATCAAAGCATGTAGAGTGGAGGACTTGACCAGATCACGTTAACCGGATTGGCCGGTAGAAAAGAGTGCCACCTCAAAATACCCTGAATTTGCATTCAAGGGGAAGCAATTTTTAGCTCACATATAATGTGGGACGTGATTTCGAGGAGTGATTTTGTTTCGCGCAGAGGTGGCTTGTATTATGCGATGGACGTGTAGAGGACAAAGTGCGTTATAGTTTGAACTAGAGCATGGTTGAAATGTTCTGGAACAAGTATTTCTCCGATGAGCTTTTTGGAGACAAGAAGTTTTTGTGGAACATCATAACACACCATTTTTTAAGGTCAAAATCAGCATTTATAGTGACATGCATTCGCAAGAAGTTGATACAAGAGATACGTAGTTAGCCTCAGCCTGGCTATGTACAGAAAATAGAGAGAGTCATTTCTTGAGTACGACGACTGCTACGACGAGTTCTAACACATAGTGGCGTGCTAACTAGAGTTGACCAACTTTGACGCGTGGAAGAGAGATTGATATGCACAAGCTAAATAAGCTCAGATGTACTGCCAATGATAAAAAGATTTGTAAATAATCACATAGCTTTCCAGGATATGATAGGAAACAAGAAGTTTCCTAGGAAATCAAGCTCTCAATTCTCTTTAAGTTACGGCCATTGATATTACCTTATGATTCTTAGAAAATTTTCGCCATGGATATCGTGTTAGGTAAACTCAAGTTTAGCTATGAAGTGTGTGCTTGCCTGTCAAGACAATTAATATGATAGCAAATTATACCACTGAAACTACTCTTCAAGCGGCAAACTTGTTATTCATTGAGCTTATTGAGATCACAATGTGCCTTGTGAGATAATCTTATAACCACATTTTTTATTTCTATCTAAATTTTGATCGGTTTATTCTGAAGATTAGATATACAATTTACATTTTCCATCGCTTATCACGTTTAAGCATTGCAGTTAGTGAAAACATAAACCAGACAATGAAAGGAGAACTAAAATGTTACTACGTAATGTATGATGTACTAGATTAATTGGTTCAATCAAGTATAACGCTAGACTTTGGTTATAATAGCATCACTAAGCTACTAGTCCATCATTTGAGTGTGTTTTCAGAGGAACATTTGGACTAGAATTGTGATGATTCTTTGGAGTTTGAAACATAACATTTTATGAGATAACTAAGTTCTGGTTGTAAGTGATTTATTGAACACATAAGGACTCGATTTAACTAAGGAGGGGCGCACAAAGCTCAGTGCAAAAAATGCCAACTAATTGAGTATAAATGTTGAGTCTAAAACAAAAGTAGTTTGTTTCTGTATTAAAACTCTCAGTATATCCAAGGAGTTCATCCAACCTTTACATGCCACGTATGTGTCGTGGATCGGTCTCTCATGTTCATTGCTTACCCAATACTACAAACTCTCCAAATTGCCTGTTAACAGAGGATGGAAACAGCCCTACGGTTCATCCAGTAGCCACATGAGAATATTTCACAACAAAACCGTATTCTTATCACATTCGACAATTACTAAATCAACAATCGATCACCTTTTGACGTACTAACCATGCATGGCTCTCTTGTTGTCCTTATCCTATTCTCAGTTGTGTACAGTACTTGAGTTTCCAATGACACTAATCCTTGACAACTGTTTTGTAGTTACAAGTGCAGAAACCGAAAATATTGTTGCAAAAATTGCCGTCTACTGTGCTTAAAAGTCGGAAGGACGAAAAGTTAGATTTCAGTTCCTTTGTCGCCAGAGTCTGCCAAATAAATACAGAAGGGAACAAAGCTGCGAACATTGAAACCGAGAGACTTGGAGGTCGACTCGACCGATAGGTCTTGATGAAATGAGGACTTGTATACTTGATTTGCTGTTCCTGGCTCCAAATTCTGATCATCTGAATTTCAAGTGAATCAACTGAATCTTGTTTCAATTAACTTTACTGTGTGGTCTTGTCATGATGGCTCTCATATCTCCAAATTGATCTTCCGGGTACTTAAGTGACTTGCGGACGTACATGATATGAAAGTGAGAAATACGTTTTTTGAATAAATTTTGTGATATGTATTATATACAAGAATTGTACTCTGATGTCTCGTGATGTTCGTACTCTTGCAACAGATTATGACATCAATCCTAACACATTCATTCTTCGTCATTCATTATTGTGAAAGGTCAAGTATATTAAGCAATATGTTCTGTGATAATGACATCAAGATTTAAAGGGTACGGTCGTAGTATTTGGACCGCAGGGAAGAAAAGACTTATATATAGACCGTCCCATTGTATAGAAACGTAGACAGTAGCTTTGTCCGCTGTAGCCAAACAAACCCATTGGGACTAAGGAAAGCAGAGCAGCCAAAATCAGTGACTGCCACTGGGAGGGACCAAGTTCAGAAGTTTTCAGAGTGAAGTTATACTTATTAACACCAGAGTCATTATTCCCGAAGAAGTTCGTGTTGAGTCTCTAGAGTCGGATCGATTTAGGTGACAGGATTCATAAAGTTTTCGTATATCCCGGAGGAAGGGACATCTATGGAATGTTAGTAGTTCACAGCCTGATTATAACAGAATTTGCAACCCTGATCTGCAGGGATAAGTTCCTAATATCCACAATGTCAAAGTGGAAACCATGGGAGCTATATCAGAATGTAGACATAGAATATTAATATATAAATGCTTAGAGCAATTCACCTTTCAATTAGATTTAGTGCCTAGTTTGGTATTCACAATTTTATGACAATTTACAGCTTTTCTGTTGCAGGAGTCTGTAGCCTTAGACCGCAGTAAAGTTATGTTGCTCATCTGTAAGTTTTTTGTCTTGAGGTGGAAACAAGTTACTTTAATATTCCTGATTTTGAAAATATCGAGGAATCGACGAAAACATGCTTTCGTTGATCAGTCCAATTCTCTAAGTAACATAAGCAACAGCTCCAGAAAATGTCTAGGCTCGCCAAGCACTTACTCCAGTTGATGCAGAAACAAGACTTTCTTTTGAATAGGTATAAATTCCAGGGGTATTTCCCTTGCTTACGGACAATACTTGTAATAACAGAAGGCTGAATGGCTTTGAAGATTACTTGGCCAATGACATAAATCTGAGGCCATCACTACTTAAAAATGACTGGTACAACAAAATTCGGAAAAGGACGAGCCGTGGGACTGATTCCTACATTTCTATCTCCCGACATATATAATTCATTTTTTAAAAAACCGCAGCCAGACAGTTGAAGAAGTGGTCATTCCACCATTCGAAATATTGTGGCAACCGTCCAAAATTTGGCACTAGATTGTTATCAATGAATTAATATAGACACAAGATAGGGACGGGGTGGAAAGTAGTGGCATGAAACTTTCACACAATAACAGAATTCAGCCTCTACAAAATGTATGTGTTGATTCTTCTCTGCAGGAAAACTATCACAAATAGTGGCGATTTCGAAGTAAAGCAATTACTACAGCTTCAGACATAGGACATTCAGCAACAGACGTTAGGGGAGGGCATCCACGCGCTTCTTGTTGATGACAGCCATGAGGGCCATGACTTGCATAATTTGCTCTACTGGACAGATTCAAACAGCTTCGTAAAATTTGAGTGTAGAAGACATGGAGAAACATGAGGAGTGGTGGTACTCAGTTCTCAAGTTTATTAAATTTACAAAAATTGGACCTTTTCTTTCTCTGAATTCATTTGTATGTACACTAAACAGAAGATGAAGTGGCGCGAAAATAACTATCCACTCTACATGACAGATGGGTGAGGATCCTCTTCCTTGGCGTGAACAGCATTGTTGGGCCTCAATTTGTCCCCAATCTGTGAAACTTTGCCCTTCATCTTGTCGACAAAAGAAGTCTTCATGTCGGAATCGTCCTCCTCTGTCACAGTAGTCTTTACGTTCTCAGTCTCATGAGTGATGGGCGGACTCTGATGATGGTGCTTAGGAGCTTCCACGGACTTCTTTCCCGATCCTGTCAATCCTGTCAATAGGTATATACATGTCTATATCAGATATTCGTGATGCTCAAGTTATCCTCTTCGTCAATTTATCTTATTCCTTGAAAAGAGTGAAGCAAGAGAACATGAGCTCAGTCATGGAAGCCAAAGACCAGAGGCATCAAACACTCTCTACATCAATCTGTTTGCTGAAGTGAAAGTAGTGTGTGAACTGACCAGGTTGAACCTGCTCGACGTTTTCGACGTGTACTATCGGAGCCCCGGGCAGCTCCGTCTCTCCTGGTCTCTTCAAATCCCTCTGTGACAATTTGAGGGAATCAGCATGTTGACCGCTCGACATTTGCTCTACGATTCCTGTAAATTCCAAGCAGTTCCCGAATTGCCAATCCCAAGCTCCGAACTCTGGTTGAGGCTTCTGCTCTGCTAGGACCTCAGCAAATCTGGAACAAACTCCTCCGCGCAGTGATAAGACAATCCTCGAATCAAAACAAGACAAGATGAGATGACTGTGTTAAGAACTGATGAGCTACAGATCTGCGGTGTACTCTTGCAATCTCTGGAAGGAGCTCATAACATGAGACTGAGAGCTGGACTGAGATTGAGCCCGAAGCACTAGGGGCAGTGGGTCGGTGGTGTTGCTTACAATTAGTGAATCAGAACTAGCCATCTGGCAACACTCTTCTCACAATCACTTCCAAGTCTGACAAATGTCGAAGAAAGATTGGCTGCTATCTCATGCAGTCCAACAAGGTCCTCGGCACGCGTCCCTCTGTGAATGTGGCACCTTGCCAGGACAGCCGAGGGAAGTCAAGCCAACTGAAGGAGGTAGAGTCTCCACTCGCCCAGAGTCTAATTGTATCGCACTTTCTGCTCTCCAGGAACTATCGCGGAAGAATACAAAACATGCAAATCTTCTGCGCTGTAAATAAAACCATTACCAATAAAACCATTACACATCCACACGTGAATCCTCCCGTGCTCGATTCGCGGTACCGTCAAGAGCTGCGCGTGAAGCTCAGCAGGATTCGATTTGTTTAGTGGCCTCAGAATTACTATGATTTGGGGTAAAGCCACCAGGCTCTAGTGGTAATTGCTACCAGTCTGCCACATCTGTAACAAAAGAACCAAACTGGCGATTGTTCTCACCAGAAGGGGTGTTGTCCACAGAGAACAGCTTCTTTGACCATGTCGAAACCCATATTTACGCCATGAAACGCCGCAAGTCCATTGAATTTGTGGAATGGTTGGACAAGACAAGGAGGGGAGACTAAAAAATATCTGATACCTCAATGGCCAAAGTAATTTTCCCTTCCATTTATCCATGACACTCCCACCAGTGACACTGAGCCAGGGTCTCCCCTCTCTCTCACTGGTCGGTCGGACAAGGCTACCACTTATCATATTCATACTGGTCATACTTACGCATCACCATATACTTTTCTGGATACGTGACTTGTGCACATCTAGCAAACCTTTCATCTCGCGTTCCAACATTAGAGCATTGGCGATAGTTAGTGCTTTAGTCTCTGGGCAGACCGAATCTGTAATTTCATAGTCATTCATACAATAGCTCTAGTCTACCATACCATAATTCCGTAGACTTCCTTCCATGATCATTTTAATAAAACACTCAGTTTGAATTTGAGGATGATATGACGTGAAAAAGAAAAGTTGTGATTGCTTGTTAATATAAATTGGTCCATAAGTCACATGGAAACTTAGAATCTCAATCCTATACTAGCCCTTCGTTGTCTCTGATGTCAGTGAATCTCCTTTTATAGCAAACGTGCAGTCTCTAAAGCAATGAATGTGATCTCAATCTATTAGATGAACATTACTTTACAACTAATCACACACTTCATAGATGATATTGTATCCCTGAAATTCAGAAAACCAACTACAGACTCTATGGCCTAAGACTGGCTAGGCTCATCAGGATCAATTGATGGTCGCTACAATCCAACCTTATGAGAGCCGGGTTTGTGATTATGCTCATAAATTATACAACTAGGTGTCCAATTATTCCCTAGTCTTTCCAATCTTGGCCAATACTCATTACCTTGCTTCAGCTTGTACAATGTAGCCTCTCTTCCCTTATGCACAGCGATTGATGTATCATGATGTTCCACCAATAAATTTGATCTCATACTACTATTGATATGCGAACCATGCGAAACAATTGAACACACACAACCTCAAACGTATTCGGCAATAATGAGAAGGTTAGTGGCACTACTTTCAAATCTTTAAGTGGCATCCACAAAGATAGTATAGACCATCCACACCGTAAATCCACCGTCAAATCCCTATGGCCACTCACATTGGCAATGGATATCCCACAATCCACATACGTTTCTAATTCTCAGCTCTCATGTTATAGAATCACTCTGACATAACGAGTAGGCATAATTTAGGATCTTTCACATGCAAAGAGCTAAGTAAAAGGAAGAAGGCGATGAAGGGAGTACTATACTAGGAATTATTCCGACGACAGATGGGATGGGAGACTGAAAAGGCTCTAGACCAAGACAGGCGAAAGAAAGTGGCTACAATCCATAAGAAAGTTATCGCAATCTCGCTATTACATGTATTATGAAATTATCGAAATTTTCTTAGCCATAAATGACGTGGAGATGTGTGTTGAAAGAGTGGTCATATTCATAGCGATTGAGTGTTATGTATTTGTGTTGTGACTGGTACTTTCAACGAGAAGATGAGCACCACTAATGTCAGGGATGGAGATTCCCGCGACGGTGCTGGAGTATCGAAAATCACATGCTTGCTCTGGCTTGAACTTCATGGAACTCATGATTTTCTCCATTTACAGTAACATTGTTCATGAATTGGAAGCCCATTTTGTTGACATTTTCGGTACGTTGGGTTTACCGCCGGCAGTTGCTGCTTGGGATCGTCGTCCAAGTCTGAAGCGAAATACTGTGCCATTGGTAAAGTATTTGCTTTCAAGATCGCCCTGCTGATGTTCAAAGTTACTTCAGCTATAATTTTCACAAAGCATGACATCTGTTAGGGTTAAATCCAAGATCAATCTGTTCATCATTCAAATTCAATTACTCCTCCATATTCCAAAATGATAACATAACTCAATCTTTTATTGATAGAATGAGTTTTTATATGTTGAAATTTTTAAACTTGTTTGAAATTTTCTTCTCTATCTTTTCATATATATTACCTCAGAAATAAACATAGTATCATATGGTTTTTATCATCTTATTTATTTTCATTAAGATAAATTTTAATATTTTTGTCTAATTTTTAATAAGTGACAATAGTACATTGGTATTCTTTAACTTTCTAGAAGTTTTTTTTTATCTCTATGTTGAGATGGTGATATGTCATTTGAAATTTTCAAACGATTAGAATTTATTTTTTTCATATAATCAACATAAAATTTAATCTAACTCATTGAAATTCTATTCTTAATCAAACCCATCAACTATCATGTAGTCGAGTATTCTCGACTTAAAATCAACGTCTAGACGTTGATAAGAAACAAAATGATAGTGCTCACTCATAACATCTAGAATTATTTTTTTTATTTCAATGAATATAGGTTTAATAGCTAGATTTAGTCATAACTAGCTAAACTTAGTATGATGAGACTAATCATGATCAAATCTTTGATTACTACTAGTTATTCACACATACAATTAGTCGTTTTTCTGAACAAATTGAACTTGTACAAGACCTTGAACACATCAAAGCTAGAAGCGTGGCGCTAGCCGTCCTATCCAAGACCGATCATACAAAACAACTTGAATTCTAGCCGCAATGTGTTTAGACAAGACATTAAACACATTGCGGCTAGAAGCGCGAACAACGCCACACTAGTGGGAATTTAAGGGGAAAAAAGTTTTAAATCTTAACAATTGATGGCAACAAATTTTAAATGACTAAAAACATTATAATCATAATTGTTGTTTGCAAGAAAAATGGATGAAAAATAGAATGAAACACATAGACATCAAGTAATTTTTTTCAAAGACAAAATGTGTTATAAAAGTATTGAGGTAGTGAAGATTGATGATATACTCAATCCAGTTGACGCATTGATTATTTTTATAACTTTGAATAGTTTTAGGAAACATTATAATACTATGCAGGTTTTGCATAAAAAGCACAAGTAAAGTTTACTAGCAAATTGTGTTAGCTCCATATTCTTACTCTATCTTATTTTTGCTAAGTCGTAATTTTAAGCAGCTTTAGTTTAAAGAGTAGCATATCTGAATTTTTTTTCTACAATTTACTGCAAGTCTATATAACTACATAATCAATATATACATTATGGAGATTATTGTTCTGGCTATGTGTTAATGAGTAGATTGTTAGTATTAACTTGAATCTTGGATGAAACTTTAGTTAACCTGACTTTTCTTAACTCTGCATTTATACTTCATCCTGGTTAGATTAGACCTAAGGATTTAGGCTATCATGTATAAATAGTACAGCGAGCCATAGCTCGCACTAAATAGTAAGCAGTTTTTTCAATAAAGATCTTGTTGTTCATGTGAACATAATACGAGAGTGAAATTCATGTATATTCTTGTCGGATTGTGATTTATGTATTTTCATGCATTGGCCGTTAAAAAAGATTTATCCAACATCAGGATTTCAGAATTTAAATTCAATTTACAAAATAAAAAGTTCTAAATGCAAGAAGTTTGAAATTTTAGTTCTTTAATAACAAATGAACTTACTATAAGATGAATATGAGTTAATTTTTTCTACAACAAGTGATGTACAACAACACAAATTCGTAATTTTAATCACTGGTGGTTGTCAACCTACTACTTGTAAAGTAAAGTATACCTTGTGATCATTGAAACAACACATTATGGAACTACTTCAATTGGAATTTGACATATTTAACATTGTAATTATTGCTTGATGTTTCTAAATTGTTCATTTTTTTTTTAGCATCTCGAATGCCCATCTACAACGCTAGTATGTTGTGTTGTTGTCCGGCCCCACAAATATCAGAACACAATCACAGTCTAATTGTATTACCGTTTGGTCTTTGAAATACTTTCATTAGATTCACAGTTCTAAAGTTTCATAAGTTCAAATATACGTACATAAAAGACAAAAACATCAGTTGATGTTACAAAGTTCTTCATCAATTGACATCAACTAATACAAAATGTGGATTATATTCGGCCTTGAATACCACCAAACTCTTTCTTATGTCTTTCCACTTCTTAGATGACGAAGCGGACATTACATAAGCGGACAAAGTTCTAGGTTGACAACAGAGTTGTAATTATTATGACATATTAATTATATTCAGCTAGTGTCTTTACTGTAAGCCGTTAACATTTATAACTTAAATGAAGATACTAGTTATGTCAATGTATTAACTCTCAATCATCATCATTTATTACTTATAAAAAAAGGTCTACTACTTCTCACATTTCTGCACGTGAGAAGTAGTACACTAGTCATGCTTTTATTCATTTGCTTTAAAATTTTTTTCTAACTTTTTGATTAGGTTTGCAATAGATTTTCTCAGCATTTGTTTGAGACAATTTTTTATACTGGATTATTGCACATATTATATTAATTAACTTTTTTTTATAAAAGAAAGATTGCTTTTATTGTTTCTGATGTTAGTTACAAACAGCATAAGACTTTTTAGTTGTTAGACAATTTGAACTTAGTTTGTAAAAGCATCAAGTACGGAAAATAGAGACGATCTCTTTTATAATAGAGCTTCATCATAAAAGTCTGAATGAGGACAAAATATAATTCACTATACATAGATAGATAATATTTTATACAAAAGATCAAGATAACATGTTTATTTTTATTGTAAGAAATGAAATAAAAAATCAGTACATTGTACTAAAATGTTCTTGGTACAATCTTTTAATTTTATCAAAATTGTATCATTATTATATGATACTATCACAATCCAAAAATAAAGTTAGATGTAATATATATTTCCATGCTTTCTATGCATTTGACAATTAGAGAAGTAGTACATCTAGTAATATAGGAGACGAGGCGCGCCTAGATCAAGGGAGGACACACTAAATTAAGTAGGTACAAGGAGAGAACTACAACAACGTTATTCATATAGAGCATCGTAGCAACCCTTACCGTATAGGAGCGAATCCAACCCATGCATGTGGCAGTTGCGGGAAAAAGTGCTCAGATGATCAATGAAAGTGATTGCATGGACATATATAAATACAAGTTAATAAAAGACTTTGTTCAGACACATCATGAGAGGAGACATGGAATATTCGTAATTCGATATTAAATAATTTGTAGTACTATCCGTCATAGAATTGTTGTTGTTTTTTATGGTTCAGCCATCATTTCTATTACCCCATGCGTCTAAATTTGTCCACTGCTTTTAAATGTCCATGAAGTTGGGAAAAAACCAATAAATCATCTGAGATGTAGAACGTACAGGGTATATACAGAAAATCAGATCTTCAAACAAAGCACCGAAAAGCGATCTATTATGCCTTCTCGTGCAGGGCCTTTCAGGAATCTGCTTCTCCATCGATAAGCCGGATTTGTTCCTGAAGAAAGTAATCCAAAGTCTCTTGAACTCGTGAATCAGAGCGTGTGGACAGAATAAGCTCTGAATGCGTTCAGGATATGAAATTGGAAAACTAGAAAGATGTACGAACCTGAACAGAGAAACTGGTCTATGTCTGGGGGAGACATACTTCTAGTGTTATCTTTTTCTCATGCTCCTGGGTACGTACATCTCACTACAGAATGCCATGACAACTGATCCCAAAGCACCCACACCTGCAAACACGTACATCGTCACCACCTTCGAAGCGTTCGGCCCGAGACTGAGCAATATGACGATGATGAGCCCATTGCCTGCAGTTATGACCGTCGAGCCAACCAAGCAAATCAGCAAAGGAGAAAAGAGCATTAGTATCCATCCTCGAGCGCGTACACATTTCACACATTCGACGAGACATTGAATGAACGTGGTACCACTTCTTGTTTCCATCGACGTGCTCAGCAACCGTATTGTGCATCGGTAGGAAAATTTCAGAGGTACGGCAGGTCTCATGTCCATAAGCTCTTGCAAGTTGTGGTATACTCGGACTAGAAACAACAATTCGTCTGGTGGGGATAGCGTTGGGCGAGGACGGATAAATACCAATTCCGGCGAAGGATTCGATGACGGCGTTGACGGCTGTCTTCATGCTCTTCGGAGCTTCGTGGTAAGCGAAATCCGTTCGGGCAATAACGTTCATGGCGACAGCCATAGCCATCGCTACGTACTGAGGAAACTGCCATTGTATCGATACGTCCGAGAAGCCTGACGAAGTCTTCTTCCGATCCGTGTCTATGGCAATCTGGAGAGTCCCCGACATCACGAACGCCCCCGTCACGCAGATAAAGGACCCGAGTATTTTCCTCAAGTCGGTCAGCCTGGTGACATACTTGTCAACGAACGGATAAATCACCATGTGCACCAAGGGGACCACCAGCACATCCAGAATTTCCGTCAGCACCTGCGGGAAAACGAATCGACAGGGTCATGAGTTATCCATCGAACGAACCACCCCACGAAAATCAAACATTCTCGTTGGACTAAAACCCCGTACGTATTGATTACTCCTGTCGTTCGTTACGGGACCTGGTCTGTTCTCGCATGTCCGAGCGAGGAGATGAGCACAGACGCGAGATACGATCGAGGCCAATTGTGAACAATCTGTAATCAAGGAAATTCTCCGGAGCAGCATGACGTTCTTCCAGGAATTTTGTACTCTATTAGTGATTATTGAACTGCAGCTGGACTTGAGTGGAGGATGGGATCCCATGGACTACGGTAGAGGAAGGTGTGCCTCATGTCATAAAAACACAATTGCTCGCTCAGGGCGTACCGGCATCTGATCCGGCGGAACTGTGTAGTTTCCCAGCCACGAGATGGTGCAATTCATGATGCGAGCTTGAAAAATCCAAGTGGATCCAACTTGAAGATCGAGAGCTGTGAAAAATATCAAAGGTGCCAGGACGAGCAGCGCGGATATCACGGATTTCATATTCTCCCACGACCGCAGTACAGCCTGTGTTTTCCTGAGGTCTGACCTTGCGTTGCGATCTGTGGAGTTCTGTCCGTCATTTTTGAGCAGATCATCTCGTTCATCGCTGTCGCCGTCCAAATCTGGTTTCTCGAATTGGTAGTGCTGGCGGCCCGACCAGAAGATCAAAATACCCGTGGCTTTCGCGCAAGCGCACAGGAGGAAGACGTAGAAGAAAGTTCCTCCGCTTCTGACTCTGATCGCAGGATTGAGCAAGGCCCCAACAGCATAGCCAGTTTTTTTGAACATGTACATCGATGAGAAATACTGTCGACTGGCAGTCCCCTGACTTCTTGCCATGAGGTCCGCCCTGGATTCCCCTGACTCCAAATTGCTTGCTGCTTTCCTGCATACAGACCACATCACTTGATCGCACCCGAATGTGAGAAACGCCGGTCTGCCCCCTCCTCCGATTCCCGAGAGGAACAGGGCCGCAAATGATAAAGGTCTTCGCCAATTCATGTCCAAAAGCGTTGCAGTACACAGCAAAGTGAGGCCGCATAGCTGCAAGGAGAAGAACGACAATGTGGTCTTGTAATGTCCCTGCAGGTCATCGACGTCATCTTAGTGGAAAATCTTCCTGGATACCTTGAAAAATGGCCGTAATCTCTGCTCGATAATCTTTGTCATTCGTAGCATTGGTGCGGCAAGGTGCAATCTGATGTATTCAAAACTTCATGCAGTCTGGAGAGTGGATACAGGGTCTGAATTTCAAAGTGCAGTTTTGAGGACTAGAACATGCGCAGTCTTACTATGTAGCCATCGCTAATCACAGCGCCGACGATGGAACTAAAGGAAGAAGTAAACATGAACAAGTGCACGAGCTCTGTTGCTGTATTTTCGTCGTAATGCAAGCTCTCCAGGAAAAAAAGTGCAATCACCGCAAATAGCCCTTTCGCCACTAAACCTTCAAAAAACTCGCACGCAAATACGTTCATAGCGAGGCCTTCTGTCAGAACGTGTTGCTGCAGCTCTGTTTTCTCCTGCAGCAACGGAACTGCCTTTTCATCCGTGTCTTCCATCCTTGGCACGACCCTCGTCTACTATCTCGTGTCGAGCCTTTCTGCAGCCCTCTCAATGCTCAAGAACAGCAGCTCCTTTTGCAACGCTACAATGAAATGAGGCTCCGAGACTGCTCATTTGATCTATCACCATTTGGCAATGCCCGCTTTCCTCGTTGTCTCTGCCTTTTTTTAGTTGCAGGTTGGAATCCTCGAATCTGCTCCGTCTACGGGATGTTAGACGTTTTGTACGTTTCATGAACGTGTTCTAGAATATAGGCTCGTCCTGTCAAAGTGATAAGGCTCTCTGAGACCAGACTTGAAGAAGTGCTCCATAGCAGTTGTAGCACTGTGACGAAGGTGAGCTAACATCAGACCCCGAAACTTGACGAGTACAAAGTACTACACAAAAAGAAAAAATTGGATTCCTCAGGTGCAAGAACGGTCTGTGGCTCAGGCTGGGCTGCTCAACTTCCTGGCAGCGCAATAGTCTTATATTCGCGACGATATCTCGGACACGAATGTTCGAAGGATAAACGTAAAAGCGAGGTATTTAGTGATCTGAGACCTGGTCTGAGCTCAAAAGGCGCATGAGTAGTAAACAAAACCATGTCGGCACCGCTTGTCTTCGAATGCAGTGAGGGAATCCACATTTAGTTGAGACACAGCGTCGTTCCTCCCCATAGAGGTCGTTGCTATCGTGTGATGTATCTTATCGTATCGCATCGTTGCTAATGGATTCGCAAAAGCCAAAGTCTTTCCCTTTTGTTCAAAAAGGGAGGCCCTTTCGTTCGCTAAACGCCGCCGATTCTCCATTATCTCGACTCGAGTCAAATATATTCCTTCAAATCCCTTTTTGGGAACGTAGAGTTCAATCGATTCCCTCTTCAGGTTCAAGGTTTGTCAGGTCCGACACACTCCCCGGGCATGCACCGAACCGGACTTGTAGAGACGGTAACCGCTGAGCTGTCGGTCATATTCCAGGGGTATTCTATGCACTGTATCTCCCTCTAGGCTGACCGGGCAAGGCGTTGGCAGGGACTCTCGTAGTCCCGGTGATGTCAGAATGCGAAGATTTTGGAAAGCGCCTGAGGCTTCCAAGTCTTGAATGAAAAAACTCTTGCAGCCGTTCGATCTCATGGTTTCAAGGCTATTAGACGTGGAACAGAGCATTCACTGTAACATAGCTACTGGACCTTATCGATCAGTGGATGCTTGACTTGCTTTGTCGGTGTTTGCTACTCTAGTTCTCTAGAGCTCAGTGGGCTTTAGCGTTGCATCAGCTCCTTGGTTGACTTCAGTGCACATCGACCTGATGACATGCCTTGTAGTCTTTGAGATGCATGCCATCAGGGAAGCGCTTGATCGAGCCTTAAGCACTTCTCTCATCTGTTGGGGTTTCCGTAATCCCGTTCACAACGCTATTGCCAGTGATAGTGAAGGCTAACTGAGGCTGGAGCGTCACAGTGCAAAGTGCACCGTTATGTTCTTATCGACAACCTCCTACTGGAAGATTTCCTTCCGTTTAGTGAAGGACGGCCGGTTGGTGGAGCTCCAGGCCAAAACGCACGTGGGATAATGCATCGAAGCTAAAAGTGATGGTGCAGAAACCTCAGCACGATGTGTAGACCCTCTATATCAAGCAGTCTTACGTTTTCTCAGACTTTGGAACCAGTCCAGGTGCGAAATGTACGGTGTGGGATCGTGGACGTAGCGTGGCTATTGCACCCGACGAGATTCGAGCACAGCATCGACTCCCGAGATGACAATTACCAGACGGTGGGCTGGCTCCGAACAATGTTCGGGCAATCCGAGAATTTGAATAATGCCTATGTTATAACGCTTTATCAGTCAACAGCTTGTGCACCATTCATGCTAGCCTTGATATTAGCTATCGGCAAGCACAAGGACAAGCTATGACTCCAAACGAGCTCAAGCATGAGCTGCCGTGCAGCTCGTTATCATTACTACTCTGGATCATTAGTGAGAAACCACTCAACCGGAGTGCGGAGTGGCGAGAGAAATTCGTACTTCACGGTCACGTTCCCTGGTCGATCACATGCTACTTTTCCAAAGAGAGGATGCTTACGCTAGGAGCCAGTTCATGAGTTCGGTCTGGAAGGTAGAGCACTCGGCCCTCTCTGAGATATCAGGAGTGCCGCTAGGCAGCATCACTTGACCTCACGCTAGGTACACTCTCTGCACTTGCAGATGCAATGCGTGTGGATGATAGCCACTGCATGTCCATTGACAACTTCTTTAAAACAACAAGTACAAGACAACTTCTTTAACACTTCTTACAACCGCCATTAGCAGGGGTTGGAGGCCCTCACGCAACATAGGCATACGTCACTTGAAGAGTAATACCTCCGTTGCAAATACAATGACTCGATTAAAAATTTTCTTTGACGCACGTAAGAGTTTTGTATCTGTATCAGAGAAATAACTCAGAAATACTAGAACAGACCTTTTAACACATAGACGTGAATTGTGCTCAATCACATTTGAGCTTCCGCCCACCACAGGTCAAGCAAGAGGGTCTTCTCATGGGTGTCCAATAACCTACTTGTTACAGCGATCTCCTTAAACATCCCACACTTTTGCAGTTGCGACAAACATCTATCAAATCGAGCATGAGGTGGACCACTATGAACTGGCTTTGGGAGGTCCAAAATATTCACAGCCTCCGCTGCAGAGATCAAGATTAGGAGTAGACGAGCTTGGAACCATGGAACTACTCATGTTATCGTAATATTATACACATCGTAAATGTATAAATTTGTTAGACAAATTGGTGTCCATACTACTAAATCAGTGTCCAGCAATGGGGAGCACACTAATCAGGTAACCTTCCCCAAAATTCATCCCTGCCAATCACTCAGCCACAAGGTATGCAGCTGTACTGGACGTCGTGAGGATGAGTCAGGAAGCACAACGTACAGGAAAGACGTACTGCAATTGGACGGAGCGTAGAACCATGAAAGTGTCTTCATTTGCCACAATGCTATACAAAAAGACAGGCAGCCTTCTGCAGTCCCTGGTGCTGAGTCGTAGAGTCCAGGGCTCCAACTATAGTCATAGGGTGCGGATGGATGTTGTCAGGGATGGGAGCTAGCCTCACAGGTCCTACTGTTAACCTGGAAGACTGGTCCCAGGGCCGGGGCTTGACAGTTACGAAGCCGTGTTTTCAAGGACCGGAATCCTGATAGAAGGTGCTCCTCATCTCCGCTTGCCGTATGATGGACTGGAATGAAATTGCCTGTCTCAGATAGATTACATGGTCCCCATATCAAGAAGCGAGCCAATAGAAGCAGATTATTAGACGAGACATCATACACGTCGGAACATACAAGGCTGATTTTGAAACACAAGAACTGTTTTCTCGCGATGATTCGTCCCCGAATTCGATGAGGTCCAGAGATCTTACACAGAGAACTAATTTGGTCGCGTCTTCGAAATTCTGTAACTGGTGAGCCAGTTGAACATGTTCTACGCTGATTCGACCTCCAGAACTTCTTAGTGGTCGTCACGTGCCGTCAAGCGCCGTACTTTATCTCAATTACAGAGTGTAGATGTCGGACCCACTCACCGTCCGACCAGCCAAGTTTGTAGGGTCACCGATGGTTTCCGCTTTCCTCGTCTCCTAAATACTATGATGGTGCTGGAAAAGAAGTCACGAGACCATCAGTGAAACTATCATAGAGAGGGACTCGTCGTACAAAACAGGATTGAAGGAAAAGTTCAATTACATTTTGACAATCATAACTAAAGGAATCTCATGTGGACAAGATCAGATAGAATCAAAGTTGCAGAGAACATGATTACTTCTTGACTCGACCTTTAGAATTTCTGCAAGAGTTTGGACCCCTAAGGTGAGTGCCGTGGCCCCCAAGTGAACGCAGCATATAAACACAAAATCTCAACTCGTAATACATTCAAACTCCAACAGAAACCTGTCATGAAGACGTCCACTTACCATTTACACAAAAACGGTTCTTTCATGAATTATAATTGGACAAATCAATGTCTCAGTGACTATTGCACTAGATGGATAGCGGTAAAGAAGTATCTACTGCCTTTCGATTTACGTTGTTATATAAGGAAAGTCATCAGTCATAGTTCTAGTGCTCTTGGCACTACCTAGGGATTGATCTTTAGAATGTTTTATCTCACCAATTAATGTTTGAAAGGTATTGTGCTTTTCAGTCTTTTTTACCCTTTGGATACCACGGGCGTGAAATATTAATCCCAAATTTCAGGCTCGTAATGCAAGCATCTTATGCAATAATAACCGGTTCCCTGATGTGTCCAATGTCCGTACCTCAGCACCCGTCAACTGCAAAAACTTTTTTCAGTGGCGCTGGGATGCAGTCATATAGGATTGAAAAGAGCAAATAAAGTTGCGTGCAAACAGGTCATGAACTTTATGCGATTGAGAACTTTCAGGTGACGAGCATGCCTACATGCTACAACAGCTACCATCTCTCTCTCTCTCCACTCAAGCCTACCACTATCTGATAACTTTATAGGCGTATTCGATGTCTCTTTCTCTTTAAAAATGTTTAACAAGTTGAATTTGACGTTTACTTGTGTTTTTTAATATTTCATTCTTCACACAAGATGATTAATCCGTGATTTCCTATTTACAAATTTCATTTGATTCTCCACTTTGTTTCAATAGTCATTTGATTTTCAACAAGTAAATGTACTAAGTCATCTGAATTATTTAGTTAATCGAGGCGCATGCGTCAACAGAGGCATAGTTTTCATGTACTGTATCACATTGTCAATGCGAACAATTTCTTCTTGTTGATTTTCATTCCTGCATGGGAATCAAAGTAACCTTCAAAACCTTTTAGGAGAACCAAGTAATAACTGGGAACACAAAGTGAGCGAAAGATTATTAACTTCCTTTGAACTGAAGAAGCAATTCTCCCCAAATGGTTATGATATCTTTGAACAAAAGCGCAAAGTAAGATGGTATATAGGGAGTTTTCAACCTAGTACTTTTGGTACTTTGTGGGCCAAGTATGTTTTGTAGACTTTAATTGTGTACAGGGTAAAGTATGTACTCTGACACTCAACCTACCATCAGACAAAGACAGGCTCGTGACTACAATGTCAACATGTCTTACCGATAAAATCATTTTGAACTTTAAATATATTTTTTCAATGTCAAATGATGATGTACAAATACTTTCTTAGGTCGCAAAACCATCATCGAAAATTTATCAGCTAAAAGATAAAATGAACGTCCATGGAAGATATGGATTCGGATGTTTCGCCACCACCTTAAATATTGTGGTCCTACAGTAGTTCTCTCCTTCTATCGAGTGCACCAACAGCCCAGTATCCAACGTCTTCAAAGCCTGCACGTAACGAGCTACTCAGACTGAACGAATCTCGGCTATGCAGTGCTTGAGCTGCAGACTGCGTGTGCATGGCTGAAAGCTCGGCCGATGATCGGCCACGTCCTTATCTTCCGACAAGCTCAAGCCACGGGGGCTACTCAAGTCCGCATCCACTTCCCAGACGTGGAGAAACTTTTGCCCGAATGGACGAGATCCAGCTAGTGATTCCGATCGGATGGATGCCAAGTCCTCTTTTTAGGATGGATCGGACAACTTAGAAGAAGGAAAGTGAAGGATAATCTTTAGACAGAAGCTTGTGGGCTCCTCTGTGAGCAGGTGAAT